ATCTCATTTTGACGCGTCTCCTCCTCCGTCACTCTCTTAGCATCTGTTAGCATCATGCTAACTGTCAGTGAAGTTTTCCATTTTGTTTTCTGAGTCGTCTTCACTGCTGTAAATTGAAACCTTTCAAACTAAACAGATTAAATTTGTTTTCTTCTGGGAAAATTGAAATGTGGAGCTGAAGAATCTTTTTCTGTTTTAAATGTGTTCATCTGTAAAAACAAATGCAATAAAAAGAGAAGAATGAGTCAAACTTCACATCTCTATTTCCATGTTTGGTTTGGACCATGTTGTTCTTCTCTGTTCCTTATGAAACATCATGAAGCTCCAGACCCGGTGTTTTTATGCACTGAAAAAAATAAGTCATTGGATGAACATAAAAAAATTATGGAAAGGATTTCCACCTGATTACTTTGCTTTATTTCAGCACCATGTACTTGTGTTACTCCTATTTAAAGCAAATGTGTTAGGTCAACCTAATTTATTAAGATTATTCCAATGTAAAGCAAATGTGTTGGCTCAACTTGTTACAATGGTGATTCAATGGGTGATTCTAAATCAAACATGTTGGCTCAACGTAATATATTGTGGTTATTCTTATATAAATTAAATGAGTTGGCAAAACATAATTCATTAAGGTTGTTCTAATTTAAACCAAATATGTTGGCTTAACCAGAATTATGGTAATGCAATGGATGATTGTAAATCAAATGAGTTGGCTCAACTCCATTCATTAAGGTTATTCAAATTCAAATGAAATGTGTTGGCTCAACATGTTTTAAAGGTTCCTTTAACTCAGTTACTATAGTGTGACCCAGTGTAATGCAATACTGCCCGTCCAACTACTCTGCAATGTTTAGGACCAAATCATTGATGTAACTTCATTAAGATGAATGTAAATCTAGTTGAAACCACCTTATTTTACAGTGGTACCTTCACACTACCTGATTCAGTAGGTCCAACTCACTAAAAGTAAGTTAGCTCAACAAATATGCTTCATGCTAAAAGACAGCTAGTTAATCTAGTTAATCGTGTGGAAATCCTTTCCATTATTTCATGATGTTAGTTCAAAGACATTTTTTCAAGCGTTAATCAAGCATTTCAAGATAGCACTAGGTGAAAGTGTAGGAAGAACACTCAACAATTAGAAAAGGTACAACACAATTGTATTTTCAGAATTGTTATACATCGTTTTTTTACACAGCACAAAACACAGCTGAGTTGGACATTGAAATAAAAAAACAACTACAAAAAGGTTACAGTTTCATTTCCCAGCCAATTCTTTACAACATAAAACATGTCAGTATATTTGCTCAACTTAAGAGAACTGTAACAATATAAATCTTTTCTACTGCAGACTTTAAACACTCATTTTCCATATGAAACTTTACTCAACTTAGCGAGAGTTTCATATTGAGAACTTGTGCTTTCTTTGATAAGTTCTTTCCATCCAATTTCATTATTATTTTCTGTATTACTTCAAAGGTATGCTTGAGTTACTGAGCAAGTTGAGTGCTGAACGCACTAAACTTGAGGGTAGCTCAAGTTTAGCTTTGTACACTACATATGGCTCTGCAGACTTTTTTCGCACAGAATGTACCTAACATGGTGCGGCGATAAATGTAAACTTGAGGGTAGCTCAAATTTAGTGCATAGATTAGTCCCAGCAGCATCACTATTGCAGAAGATACACTGCCCAAGCTGTTCATAACTTCCACCTCCTCCAAGACAATCCCAACATCCAGATGTGCATCGGCAGCCTCTGCACCCTCTGCTCAAATGACAACGATTCCGAGGACAGTCTCGGCTTTGGCCATTTCTGCACATTCATCGACGTCCTAAGGGAGTTAGGGAAGGGTATTGGGGGGGAGACAATTCACATGTAATTAAATAAATAAATTAGACTGACATTGATTGAGTCACTCATGGACCTTAGTTGTTGAAAGTATTTTAACAACTCTTAGGAGTTCTATTGTAAACACAAAGAGAATTTAACATACCACGTACTCCCTCACCAGCTTCTCTGGATCTTCATTTAGGTACACACAGACCTTTGAGGATGCACTCTCGTCTGACCTCAGCAGTGTCTTCCTAAATATGCAGATCAAAAAACAATGAGAACAATCTCAAAACTCCAGCAGTATAGGTTCACACACTTGAAAGCATAGCTGCATTCAAAGGAAGTCACAACAAAAGTGATCAGTGGCTTGCAGTCTGTTTGAAAGATATTTAAAATTGTTAGTATCCCTTCATTATGCCATGACTAAAATGGAGTTTAACATCTCATTTAAACATCTAACTGAAGCTGTTAGATGTTTAAATAAAGACATGAATATATCACCAAAGAAATATGTGAAAAGTACAGAATGGTCAACACAGTCTATATCCTTCTACTTAAATGAATATGCAAAGCATTCCATGTCTTACAAGTACATGGACAGTCTATGTGTGGGCATGGATAACGTCGCATATGCCCGTGTTTAAGTGTAAAATGTTTTAACAGGTCATATCTACGAGACAGAGAGAGACTACACTCCTTACATTTCCACATCCCCACGCAAATAAAGACAAATAAAACAGACTGGCCAAATAAATGTTTAGCTGAACCCTAGCTCTATAAGCTCTCTAACACTACATTCAGTCACTTTAGATCTGGCAAAACTTACTATTAGCCACTGAAATCTATAACTTGATAGCCAATGACCCCTTGACCAGAACTTAAGCAGGTGGATTACAGACAGGTGATCAGGTGATGTTCTGAAAGAGATCAGATATATTTTCAGCCATTAAAATATGCAATTCATACTGAACTGAGTTGTATCTTTTAGTACAAGTCCCTTGAATGCCTCATGAATATAACCACTGGACACATGCAAGCACGTATGTGCAGAACAGTGGTGAATTGAACATGGTAGAAAGCAATAGTAACATAGGTCAAAATGAGCACATACAATCAACACAAAAAACATCAACATTTCAAAATTAAACCAATGAACTTCAATATTGTTTCTGAGCTACAATTATTTGGGGACAACAAAGAAGAGTCCAAAAACACCCCAACATCTTTACAGCAGAGGAATATGTATTTTAAAGAAAAAAAATAGAAAGCTCAAGTCTGTAATAATGGATAATCCATTGAGAGTTTTAGCCTGACAAAATATACTAGAAATCCATAACTAACAGGTATTTTAGGAACATTTAACAAAGCTCAGAAAGCAATGCTTTCTGCAGGTTTCACCGACTGAAATGTAGGACTTTTTATTACCATAATTAATTAAGAATCTCGATGATGATAGAAAGGTACCAAAGTGTGTGTATCTACATTTACCTCCATAGTAACATTACTGAAATAGAATTAAAATAGTTAGAAATAGACTGATGCCAGATCCGTGTGTTAAAAATCCTCTAAACCTCCAGGGAGCTCAGGAGGAGCAAAACTGTGACATTTCTGGGGTCCATTTGTGTCTCTGGCAGCAGCTTTGTACACTACATATGGCTCTGCAGACTTTTTTCGCACAGAATGTACCTAACATGGTGCGGCGATAAATGTAAACTTACCAATGATATCACATATAGCTATCTGCCTTAACCTAACCGACTTAATCTACAAAACATGAACTAATGTGACACAAGTATGGAACAATTAGAAAATGGTGCAAATGGTAGAGAAATTTTAAGTTACATATTTTTATATGGATTTAGATGAAAATAGATTGACTCTTACCTTCTTCAAATTAAGTGGATGCACGCCAGGAATCTCCCCTCTGCCCTTGAAAAAACCCAACAAGGTGCAAGCCAGTTATCTCGCGTGATTTTCCGTAATCTCTTGATGTCGCTGGATCCTCTTCAGCGGGAGATGAGTCTGACACAATAGCGCTTTGGAACTGACGTCACTGTGTTTTTTTTAATTAGATGAACTTTGACAAATATTGATATTGAATAAAATTTTATATATATATATATATATATATATATATATATATATATATATATATATATATATATATATATATATATATATATATATATCTTGGCACAAGATACTGCGCAGGACCCTCAAGCTCCCAGGCCTCTGGTAGAGGACCCGAGCTCAGAGGATAAGAACCACCCGCGGTGGGTATATATGTTAATTAGATGTATTCAAGTTGAGATAACGTCATTCAATCACGTTAGTCCAGTTGAGAGAAAAAAACCGATTGTCTCGCGTGTTCTCGCGTGATATCCCGTGATCTCACTCGTTGTCGTCAGCACAATATCAGTCTGACTATAATGAATCATGTTAGCTCAACATGATTCAATTTTATAAATGTGAAGTCGTGGAATATCTTATTTATCCAACATGATTTTATCTCGTTTTCGTTTCAAACCCAACATTATTGTGTGAAAGGTACATGATATTCTTTTGTTAATGTAATACGCCCCGACGTTCTTTTTTTTTGGCGGAAGATCTAGCTGACGTAATTGAATCACGTTATCTCACCTTGAATACATTTTATTCCATTTGCGAGAGAAAACCGATTGTCTCGTGTATTCTTCCCGTAATCTTGCGTGAACTTGCATGATATCCCGTGATCTCACTCGTGGTCTTCAGCATAGGATCGGTCTGACTATAATGAATCATGTTAGCTCAACATGATTCAATTTTATAAAAGTTGAAGTTGTGGAATATCTTGTTTATGCAACATGATTGTATCATGTTTTTGGCTCAAACATGGAATTATTTAGTTAACAGTACATGATATTCTTTTGTTAATGTGATAACCCTGAGGTTCCTTTTTTACAGTGTGTCTGGGTCTGTCCGTCCTGAAGGCGTTGATCTGCCAGGTGAGTCGCACCTGCAGGAAGCGAAACCAGGAGTCAAATGAACAGCATGTCTGGTTTGGACTGAGAATATATATGTTAAAATAAACATGAGTTCACTGAATGCAAATAGTTGGAGTCCCTGGTCTTCAGCTGCTTAAAGGTGAGAAGCTGGAAACCAGCAGGCACAGACTGGAAACCAGTGGAGACAGGAGGATGGAGAAAGTTCTTCTCTTCATCACTGGTGCATCAGGTAACTGCGATGATGTTTTCTTGATTTAATCACTGTTATGAACTATAGCAAAGACTCGAAGTGCTATAAGATGTGACGCATGCGGAGCCTTAAAAAGCACCGGGTCTGTCTTTTTAGAACCAGGAACTTTTTTACCAGTTTTCTACTGAAAGCAGCTCATCAGATTGGACGGAAAGCATCTATAAAAGTTCATTTTCACATTTTGTCACAGAATCTTGAGTTCTGGACTTTGACTAGACCAGGGGTGTGCACTCCTGGTCCTCGAGTGCTGCTGTCCTGCAGCTCCCGTGTCTCCCTGTTAAATCGCCTCCTAAATGCAGTCAAGTTCTCCAGAGTCCTGCTAATGACCTCATTATTTGACCTCATTATTTGACCTCATTATTTGACTCAGGAGTGTTGAAATGGAGACGCATCTAAAAGTTGCAGGAGACCCTGCAGGTCTGGAGTTGCCCATCCCTGGACTAGACCATTCTAAGACATGGAACCGTGGCTGCATGGTCAGGGTGGTTGAACCTCCAGCCAGTCGTAGGTTTCTTCCAGGATTTACCTGGATTCAGCTCCATCAGCCCACAGCATAATGCTGCCACCACCATGATGGTTGAGGGACGTGCAGGAACCTCAATCTACGCTGGTTGTAAACTCATAATAGGACTTTCAGTTTCTTGTTGCCTCTAAAAGTCTAAAGGTCAACATTAGTTTACAAATCACTGAACAGTTTGGCAAAGATCTGCTGTTGTTGTATCAACCTTCCAGACTCTCAGGTTCTGGTTCTGGTTCTGGTTCTGCTCTGCATCCCCAGAACCAGAACCAAGAGAGGAGAAGCAGCTTTCAGCATCTATGCACCAAAAATCTGGAACAAACTTCCAGAAAACTGTAAAGCAGCAGAAACCTGACTTCCTTTAAAAACACACCTGTATAGAGTTTTATTTGAAATTTAATATGGAACAATGTATTGTTGATTCCATGATGCATGACTTTGTGTTTATGATGTAAAGCACTTTGAAATGCCTTGCTGCTGAAATGTGCTATACAATAACATTTGACTGATTAATCAAAATGAACCAGTCCTGAAAAACTGACAACTGCAAAGGTAGGAGGGTGTGAATACTTTTGTGAGGCTTTGTATAAATAACAACTTTCTCTCATTAAATCTTTGTATTTTTGTTGGAGTAAATCTTGAGGTTAAGAGGCTTTTAGTTGGTGCTGGATGAGCTTTTAAGCTGTCGTTGTGCTGCGTGTTGCTGCAGCTCTTTGGGCCGTCTCCGCTGAGGTTCGGTTCCACTTCGTTTATGACCCGATGAGCTGGAGCGCCGCTCAGAGCTACTGCAGGAAAACCTACACAGACCTGGTGACTGTGGACAGCGCCCAGGTCGTCACGACCCTCAGGAACACGGTCGACTCGAACAAAATGGCCGCCATAACTGACGTAAACACACTTCTCTATCTCAGCTTCAGTCCTTTGAGTCTAACCTGCAGTAAAGTGTGAAATGGTTGTTGCTTCCTCTCTGCTGAACCTCTGGGTCTGAACTCTTCCTAATCCAGCAGCTACACCTGACCTGACATGCAGCTTCATAACAAACAAATCTTTGTGGTTCCTTTAACTCTCTGCTTCCTCTGCTGCCTACCAGGATCTATTTCCATAAAGTTTGCAAAGTTAATCACTTGTCATTCTGACTCAGTGGAGGTGTTGACTCAGGGTATCGCTGTCAGGAATGAATGCAAATCTCTTTATGTAAGTAGGACCGACTGACACACCATCAGATTCAGCCTGAAAACCTTCGTCTCCTCATTGAGGCGCCGTGGAGCTTTTCTCCACTATGTTCAGGCGTCTGGACCATCGCAGTCTGTCGGAGTACCCAGAGAGAACCATCTCATGCACAGGGAGAACATGCAAGGAAGGGATGGTTGGATTCTAACCCTAGACCTTCCTACTGCAAGGCAGCAATGCTCTACTGAATGCATTTCTTCTCAGCCGCAGAATTAAAGAATAAAGTTTCCTCTCAGATTTGAATACTTTGTAAAAATAAACAGATTTTTTAGAATAGATATTGTGAAGTGAGGGCAGCACAAACTGTGACATCATTGTTGTCTGTCTGTTGACTGAAAACCCAGACTGAGCAGGAAGGAAACGGCCAGGCTCACTGAACACCAGGTCAGATTATAAATACACAACGACAAGCAAATGGTGCAACCAACCTTCAGACTGCTGACAAGTCATACGTCTTTGCATGTAGTTAATATCAACTTTTCAGCTGTAGATTGTCAAATATTCATCATAATAACTGAACCAATCAATGGTTTCAGCCGTTGGTGCTAAAGCAGCTGCTGTTGGTTGCAGGCCTGGATTGGTTTGTATGATGATGTGGGCAGCTGGAGGTGGTCCCTGTCAGACGAAGCTTTCTACCAAAACTCTGAGGCTCTCTACAGAAACTGGCCGTCCAAACAACCGGACAACGCCTGGGACGGAGAGGCCTGCCTGGAGATGCTTGAAAACGGAGACTGGAACGATATTGGCTGTGATGTTCAGCGTAAACCGATCTGCTCTACTGTCAGCGGTGAGCTGCTTATTTTACTTTCATTTAACTTTTTCTGTTGTCATGTTTCTCAAAGTACAGCAATGCAACACTTTGTAATTCAAATGTTTTTGAAATTTTCCACCCCGGGTTTATAATAGCTGAATAAAATGTTTTGGGAAAACAAAAAAAGGTCAACAGCAAAAGTTGAGGCTTATTATGTTTTATATCTAAAGAGAATATGCTACCAGTTCCTCTCTGCAGAGGTTTCAATTCTTCTGCAAAAAGAATAAAAGTTTAGCAGTTTTTCTTGGATGCAGATGAACTAATATGAGCCAAAACATCAGCAGCCTGAGGAGTTACTGTCTGCAGGCTGCAGTTTAAACATCAGAATACAACATCTCCACCATCAGCCCCTCTCTGTGTTCAGGGCTAACGGCGACCTTCACAGTCATCAACACCTTGATGAACTGGACTCAGGCTCAGAGTTACTGCAGAACCCACCACACTGACTTGGCCAGTGTGAGACATTCAGCTGACAATGACAACCTAAAGGCAGCCAAACCTGCAAAGGAAGCCGTCTGGCTCGGGCTCTTCAGAGACCAGTGGAAGTGGTCCAGCGGATCCCTTCTCACATATCCGTACTGGAACGCTGGAGAACCCAACGGTCCACTGGAGAACTGTGCAGCAATGGACTTCACCAACTCCGGACACTGGGTGGACTGGGAATGTCACCTGACTAAACCTTTCATCTGCTACTACGGTCAGCTGATCGATAAAAGTTGATGATCACAGATGGAGGCAGGTCCAAACACATGCTAATGAAACGCTCCGTGTTTCTGCAGAAATCCCGTCCACAAACCATGTGATGAAGGTGAAGCTGGTGGGAAGTTCCTCTGTGGACCTGAAGGACGGCGCTGTGCAGGCAGGCCTGCTGAGACAGGTCCAACACGTCTCACGCTCTCAAGTCTGGCTGCAGGTCTCACCTGTCCTTTATGGGGACATTTCTTGATTTGGTGCTGATTTCAATTCATTTCAGCTCCAGCAGAAGCTGAAGGACCGAGGGGTGACTGCAGGGATCAGACTGAGGTGGATGAAGCAGCCGGACGGAAATGTCTTCTACCAGGAGAAACAGGACGACCAAAACTGAAACAGAGTTCAGTGATGGATCAGCAAATAAAATATTACCAATATTTAATGTTTTTAATATAAACAGCCATGGGTTTTGTAGTAAAGCTTATAGTTTAAACTGAATTCACTTTGTTGGAAGCAAATTAAGTGCAAAGGCATCTTTGTTTCATTATAGCCCAGTTTGTCCAACAGTTCATGTTTAATCCAAATATATCTGACATTGTCATGTAACCTGCAGTTGTTGATGGCTTTTCTTTCAAATCTAGATTTAGATCAGTCTGAACTTAAATACAAATGTTGAAAATTTAATAAAAAAAGACAAAAACTTTCATTGTTAAAATACAAAGGAGAAAATAAATGTGAAAATTGTGTAACATTAAAGCAAAATCAGACAGAACCCAACACAAGTGTAAGGTTCACCAAACGTTTTATTACAAAAGATAATGGTGTAGAGGGGCTGAACGGGGTGCGGTCACGCCGGTACGTCAGGAAGGGGGGATGCACAGGGGTCAGCGATCCAGCCGGGGGACAGTAGGGAGGACTTGGAGGCTCAGGGGACAAACAGAGGACAGGGACAAAATCCTCCAACCAGAGGCCGAGTCGTGAAACGATCCAGGGTCATGCATGGGACAGCAATCAGGGAGTAAATATCCACAGTAAATAGGGAGCAGCACAGTCAATGTGGAGCTGGAAGGCTGAAATCAGGACAAATTGCTTAAAAAAAACATTGTGTGTGAGTCATTAATAAAATAGTTTTCCACTTATTCCAATTTATAGCTCAAAGTATATTTCTGAAAGTAAACTTTACCAGCATTTGGAAATGTTGCTGTAAAAAGCTCTTATTTAAATGTTGAAGACACTTTAAACATCTCCGCTTTAGTCTTTTCAGATAACTTAAAGTGTAAGACGAAACTTCCAAAGAAGTCAAAGCAGTTTTTTTGCCTTCTAGAGACTCTAAATCGGTAAATGGTTGGAAGTTCTGCGATCTCCGAGGCCACGTGAACGCATCTTTGTAACGCGTCACGTGGTCGTTCTGTTACTATGGATACAGAGAACCAGCGGTCCTGTTTTAACTGCTTTAGTTAAAGTTTCTGGTTTCAAATCGCTGATTTCTTTGCTTTTTAAACGATTCCGATAGGATTTAGATCAGGTGAGTAAATGTTTCTGATGTTTTCTGTAGACTGGCCTGTTTAATTCGCCGACTTGATAATTAATTTGACTGGTTTAAAGTAGTTTTTATGTCGCGGTTCAACCACAGTTAGCAACAGAACAGTTAGCAACAGTTAGCAACAGAACAGTTAGCAACAGAACAGTTAGCAACAGTTAGCTCCTTTAGCTTCGGTCTGTTGCGTTCTGTCTGTTGCATAGCAACGTTCAGGGTTTTCATTGTGCTTCTTCCTGCTTTTCACTCTGACCTCATGTCACCTCCAGCCTGTAAAAATCACTATAATAGTTTTTATTAGTTGGTGGAAAATAGCTACAAACATTTATTCAAGACAATTCTTTCAAATGAAATGACTAATGGCTCCTGGATCCAACAACAGCAGATATTCCTGCACAATATAGAAATGTTTGAAACATCACCACAACTAAAATTATCCAGCTTATTTTTATTTATCATGCGATTATTTACTTATTCCAACAAGCTCTCAGGTATTTGTTCATGAAAAGCTTTAAAACGGTTCTTAATTTCACATCTTAGTTCTACTTTCTGTTGATCTCGAATGAAATCCAGGTAAAAACAACAAAGTTCATGGTTGTGAAGAGCAGATTCGCAGACAGAAACAACCTGCTGTGTGTTTTTAATTTATTTTAAAAGTGAAAGATTTTCTTCAGGTTTTTACAAACGCAGCGTAAAACCATGTTTACTGTTCCAGAGGAAAATGAAGGGCTCTGGGAGGTTCGTGTTTGACGATGAATTTCAAGAGATGGAGAAGAAGTTGGCCTTGTGCGAGGAAGAGGAGGAAGAGGAGGAGGAGGATGTGAGCATCGATCTGCTCATGTGAGCAACTCCAGCAGTAACAGCCTGCAGGCAGCTGAGGAGGGCAGAAATAGTGAACAGAACAGGTTTATTCCTGAAGCTGCAGACGATGTTCAGGGTTACAGACAACAGCCCTGAAATAACCAGAGAAACCTGCTGCAGCTTTTCTTTAGCTTTTATCCAAGTGTCAAATTTTCAATCAGTCTGTTTATTCACTCAATTTAACAAATTAATTCACTTTAATTAACAAACTATCTTAAAAAGGGAGCAGGAAGAAGTAAAATCTCGTATCATCTTTTCTCTTTCTGAATAATTACAAACTTAATGTCCAGGGCTCTATACATTAGATTAATATGAGCTGAAAGCAGCATGACTTTCTCTTCCTTAACTCAAATGTTTTTGACTTAATCGTTTTTGTCTGATAAAATGTTCTGAACTGATTTTTCCATAATTTTGCTGAAAAGCACATCTATTTCAAAGCAGTACCCATAGTTTTACTTTTGACATTATACTTTCAAACTGTTACTTCTGTCACTTTAACTTTCGTGAAAGAATTACCAATCATCTCTTTAAAATGACTAATAGCATTTTGAATGAACCGAGTCCCTCAGAATCTGATTGAAGATAAATTTCTTAATCTAAAGACGACAAGATTAGAAACTCTGCATTGTTCCCTCTGTCAAAAACTGAAAGCATTTTCTGAGGTGAGTGAGTGTCGCCCCCTGCTGTCCGTCTGCAGCCCTGAACCCTACAAGAGCAACTCTCAGAAGGAGGAGCACCTGCTGGAGATGGCAGAAAACTTCCAGCGTCAGTATTTGCTGCTGCATCCTGACCGTACGCCTCTGCTGCTCTACCCGGTCAATGAGTATGGAGTCAGGGTAACAGCCGCTCCCCCAATTAAAATCTGCTTCCACCATTAAACCCTCTGAGCCCCAGAACTGTCTCTGTCCTGTCCCGTCCAGAAGTTTGTGTCCACCACTCTCCGTCCCACAGAGACCGGCCTGTGGGAGCTCCAGAGCTGGCAGGAGTGTTCCTCACTGGTGGCCGACTTCCTGTCCCTGCAGCTACTGGAGCCGCCCACGCAGGTGGTCAGTATGGCAACACACTCACTCACACACACACACACACACACACACACACACACACACACACACACACACACACACACTCACACACACACACAGAGACACACACACACAGAGACACACACACACGCACACACACACACACACACAGAGACACACACACACACACACACACACACACACACACACACGCCTGGTAAAGATAAGTGGGCCAGTTAAGTGTCTTGTGGACAGGCTAAATGTCCCCCATGTTCCTCGTTAAGCTCTCTGTTTAAGGATCTGTCTGACTTCTGACCCGTTAATCAGAGCGTTAGATCAGGACCACGCGTCCATGTCCTCAGAGTGTGTGACCGTCCTGCTGTGGACCGGGCCCTGCAGCCCGGCCAGCTGTTCTCCCCCACAGCGGTGCTGCGCAGCCAGAAGGCCACCAGCTTTGAGTCGTCCACCCTGCTCTGCAGCCTGCTGCTGGGCCTCAACTACGACTGCTACGTCGTCAGCGGCTACGCTGCCAGGGAGATGTGTCTGATGGACCTCAGCCTGCAGCAGTGCCCCCTGCTGGACACCAAGGCTAAGGCAGGTCTGCCTCACACACGCCTCTCAGACTTCAAGGTTTCTGAGTGGATTTGTGTCTCCAGGGCGACCAGGACGAAACCTCGGACCACACGCAGAAGAAGTACGGAGTAAAGTGTTCGATGGAGCTGAGGAGCCGTTTCCTGTTAGATCAGGAGAAGAGGAAGCTGGACGCCGAGGCTGCTGCGATTCTGGAGAAGGAGCTACAGGAGGTAAAATGTTCCAGCTCACCTCAGAACCAGATAACTAAAGCTTCAACCTGTGGAATCTCATAGTGTGAACAGATGCCAGAAAAACAAATAATAATTAATAATAAAATTGATCAGCGCGAGCAGAAATCTGTCCCATCAGATGTTCAGGTTTAACATTATTCTACAGGACTGACCGGTTCCCCAGAGGGTCCAGATCATCCTGCTCCGCAGCAGACAGGCAGACACATTTCACAGAGGCTCAGGACCCTCACCTTAGTGCTGCCAATCACTCCCCAGTGTGGCGCTGCTCTGCTACACTGCAGCTAGTACAGCATGTAATGAATGCTAAGGCTCGTTAGCCTGGCCACCGATGACGGCCGATAAACAGTTTTCCTATAAAGGTGAATGGTTTCTCCGCCACTAGCACGTTTAGTATAAGGTTGATTGGCAGCGCTAAGCCCCTCCTCCTGGCTCTGATTGGTTGTTTTTGGTGCATTTCCTCAGATGGCAGGAGCAGCTCAGGATTAAGGTGGAGGAGAGTGATCATTTCACAGATTATCTGTGTCATAACAAACTGTTACAACATGGTGACAGATGGCAATAAAAGTTGTGTACTGCACCTTTAAATACAAACAGTTTTTGCTTACCTACTGCTCTGTTATTCTCTCAGCATATGGGCTTTTTTGCATTTGTATACTCCAGTCAATTAATTCATTAGTGAATTAGTTGACAATTATTTGAATAATTTACTAAGCACAATTAATTGCAATTAATGTGATTAATCGATTGGTTCCTGGTCCAGTCCTTCTGTCTGTCCATTTACCTCATCATCCTGGTTTCTGTTTCCATGAGCAGGAAAAGAGCATGCATCTTCCAGATCCCCTGTTTGGTTTCCGGGTCCACTGCTGGGTTCTGGTTCTGTCGGGCCGGCGCAGCATCGAGGAGAACTTCTTCATCGACCCTCTGACCGGCTGCAGCTATCCGACCGTACACGACAGCTTCCACGGCATCGAGAGCGTGTGGAACCCCTTCAACTACTATGTCAACCGGCAGATCTGCCACGCCGGCTGCAAGGTGTGTCCACCCAGCACCAGTCAGAACCGGTCCAGATCACCCCCCAGTACTATTGCCAGACTCCCTCTGCTGTGAGCAGGACATAAACTTTGACCTGGAGGACTCGAGCCAGTGGGAGCCCATCTTCCATGACGGCGTCAGCCAGCAGCAGCTGATCCAGGCCGTCCACCGCAGGGCGGAGTACCGCTTCATCGGACGACTCACCAGCGAGCTGGAGGTCAGAACTCCACCTGTCTGTCTGAGAAGTGCAGTAATCCTCTTACTTTACTGCTAATTTTCAAAAGTAATTAGTTACTTTAATATTCACTTTATTTAATTGCATTTCAAATATGATGCACCACCTGAATAATGGTATAAATTCACCCATAAGCCTAATTCCATTTCTTCTGCATATTCTGTCATATAAAACTTAATCAAATGAAAACTTCTCTTTCTAAAACTTTTTTTGTTGTTTTAAATTTATGCATATTGTAAAATTCAATTCAAATTGAAATTAAGTACATTATTGATCCCAAAAACAGACTCCTCATTTGAAGAAGTTTGTTGAGTATTTATGCCTGTTCCTTCACATCCCTCTCAGTCTGGAGGGAGGCAAGTGAAGCCTGGTGGCCTGCCAGGCTTAAAACCCTGATTGCTCCTGGAATGAAGTAATCAGATTACAGTGACGCGATACTTCACCGTTCATCCATTAATTGTGAATTGTTATCTTGAAGGAAGATTTTCCCAAGAAGTTTTTCTGATGAGATCTTGGGTCAGCAGGATCGGCATCACAAGGGAAGGTGAAACCGTAAAGCAGGTTGTTGACCTTCCCCTGTCCTGTGAGACGTCCAACACCTGTCCCTCTGTCCCCCAGTCCTGCAGACGAGGTTTCCTGGAGGGAAGAAGGAGACCCGCTACAGAAAAGCATTGCTGGAGAGGTTTTCATCCACCGTGACCGACGACGGCCTCATCTCCAGATTAACGACGTACCAAGACCTGAGATGTGAGACTCCATCCCAAACGGTTCACTTTGTCCCTCCCGCCATCGTCTCTGATCCTGTGTCTGTTTACGTTAAAGGCACAAAGGTCGCCGGGGTCAAAGAGTGGTACAAGTACAGGAGTGATGGGCTGGAGGAGAAAGAGTTCAACCACTTGGACAACTCCACCACTGAGCGCTTCAAATCCGGGAGAGCTTTCGACCTTTTATGTGAGCCGAGCCACAGCTGAACCTGGCTGCTTGTTTAAACTGCCAAAATAAAACAATATCCTGGTGAAAACCAAGCAGGACAGCAGAGCAGAGGACACAAAAACTAAATTCAATTAAAAGTATCCATCCAAGAAATTACTCAAGTAAATGTAATTGAGTAAATGTAGCTGGTTACCACTGAAGTGTGAGCCAGAAGCTCCTGAAGGTTTCCTTTAGCACGTGATGTTCTGCTCTTTCATCGTTGTTACAATCTATTTAAAATCTTCCTGAATAGGTGAAGATGCTGCCTGGTGTGTCCTAATTTAATCACGTAACTGATTGTCGGTGTCTGTCGCTCTGGTCAGTTCACGCCTGGAAGCCAGTGGAATCTGGGACGGAGCGAGAGATGAGGTTCTACCGCCCCGAACAGGACGGCCTGGAGCGGATTGTGGTGTCGCCACAAGAAATAAAGGAATCCTTCAAGTGCCGAGACGACTTCCTGTACTTGAGACACATTTTTTTCCGTGAGGGCGGGATGACTTCCCCTCCGCATTCTGCAGAGAACGGCCATGAGCCCACCCTGGAGAATCTCAATGTACTGGTAAGAGGTAAACTGGTGCTGGACAACATGACGCTTTAAATAGATAAAACTGACGACCCAACGGTGGGGAGCGCCACACGTTTCCATGGTTTTATGCCCTGGCTCTTGTTCTTTTGTGCGTTTCAGAAAGTGGTGGAGCGTTTCCATAGGAACCCCTCCAAACGGGCCAACGATGACGTGGCCCAGCGGGTCTTCATTGTGCCGGAGTTGGAGACGGAGCTGATCTATCACCTCATGGATCACCGCACTATCCCTTCCAGGAGGAGCCTCAAGAGAATAGAAGATGATGAGCCAATCACAGACAGCATGTTCTCCATTCTTGGTATGACTGAATCGTTTCTCACACCTCTTCCTGTCACACAAACAGATGTTTATGAGCAAACATGGTGGACTGACTGATGAAAACAGTTGTTTTATTGTTTTATTAGTGAATCTGTGTGTGTGTTCAGGTGGACCAGGCTGAGGAGCCTCCTGGGCCCCTGACCTGGTACAGGTTGGTGAAGCACCTGATAAGGGAAGAGGAGAACATCGCTCTCCAAATCAAAGCGTCTGTGGTGGAGGTGATTCCTCAGCAGGATCACATCAGATCTTCTATCCGTAATGTTTTCCTTGCTACGTGTAGAAGAGACTGGGCGCTTCAAAGTCCACAGAAAAACTCAGACTGGTGATTAGTACCATGGTGTGATGATGATGAATCTGACTAGTATAAAGAGTTAGTCTGTGCAGCTGGTAGAGAAGCCTCTCAGAAACATCCTTTCTCTCTTTACTTCTTTAAATATGAAGCTAATTCTTGTCAGTAGGATTTCTCTGCTGTCTTTGGTAAAAGGCCATGACCGTTTCTCCCGCTATCAGTAGACATGCGAATTTGTTTTAGCTATACTTACCCACAATGCCCTGCACTGCAGTCCACTTCCTGCATACATTCAAACCAGAGTTTGAACGTATGTGTGGTCCGTCCGAACCAGACGGACGTTTGTAGAGTTGGTCTGGGCTTGAGTCCGTATTCTCACCTCCCCGACCGAACCGGACCTTCTGAGAAAACGGACTGGAGTTGGATTCAAGCGGACCAAGCAAGCCTGGTGTGAACACACCCTAAGAGTGAACATTGTTTAGTTGATTGGTTAAAAGATTGAGATTGTTCAACTAAAGTAAGATTCATAGAAATAACTCAGACAGATCGGCCATCTTGCTGCTACAGCTGCATAGCGCCGCTGCTAACGACACAGCCGTGGATCCTCAGACTGTCGTAGGAACTTGTGCCAGTTTTATTGTGAATGATGTGAAGCCGACGGCATGAATCTGAAATCTATCTCCTCCAGCCGACGAGCTGCTCTGGTCTGATGTTTGCCCAACGTTGAAGTTCAGTAAAGCTCTGAGAGTTTTAGATTGATTCTGACTTTACCTGATGTGAGCAGATGGAGACCATCGTGGAATGCAGGAAGCAGGAGGAGAAGGAGGTGGAGGTGTTCTCCTCCCCACTGGAGGAGGTCATGGCCTGCAGGGAGAAATGGGAGGAGGTAGGGGAGAAATCCACCCAGACAGCAGGTCAGTCCTGTTCGTGACGCCATGAGTGATTCATGTCTGCTGCTGCAGGAGCTCACGTCCAAAGAGGAGGTCCTCATCCTCCATCGGCAGGGAATGGACGTCATGGTGCCGTACCTGGCCCGGCTCGGGAACTCAGAGTCTCTCACTCGAGAGGAGGCCACCTCCTTCTGCCTCGGCTGCTCAAAAGCATTCAGAGAAAAACTGGAGGAGCATACCGACTTCCTGCAGAGGAACTTGGAAATGGTGCGGCAGCGCTCCACCGGCAGGCCAACACCTGGCTGTTAAAAACACTTCATTTATACTAAAACACTGCAGCAAAGCTCCTCCATCCATGTGTGTTCAGGTGATCGAGAGCCAAGCAGAGGAGAATGACAACATGAGACACCCGCATGACCCCACCATGAGCGAGGAGGAGGCGGAGCTCGCCTGTCACCAGTGCTGGGATAAAAAGTTTCACATATCTGCTGCCCAGAGACGCCTGGACAGGTAAACACCCACATACCGTTTCAACTGGAGCCAACCTTTAGTGGAATCATTTCAGGCAAACTGAAATGATTCTACCAAAGTGGGTGGAGCCAATTGACACTGAGGGGCGTGGCCAGGTGTTGGGATGAGCACAGAGGGTTAAGCTGAGGGAGACGTTTCAGATCCTCTCATAACGTAAAGCGCAGGTCGCTGTGCAGTGAAGCCCCTCCCATTTCCTACGTACTGCAGACAGCAGTAACCTGGCAATTCCTGTAGAGTGATGCATCACACTCCATAAAACATCTTTAAAGTTTGTGGATTAACAATAAAAAATCATCACAGCATAAAAAAAAAGCTGAAATCAACAAGATAAAAACTGCAGAGTTTGGGAACGCTTGGACCAGAGTGGCTGTAGGAGCCTGCTGAGCCGTGTGTGTGTGTGTGTGTGTGTGTGTGTGTGTGTGTGTGTGTGTGTGTGTGTGTGTGTGTGCGTGTTGTTGACATAGAATTTTAAGTTAGCACAATACTGCACAGGATAGCTTTGACACATATAAAATATAACATAGAAAGTTAAAGTACACTCTAGGTTCATATAAATTTAGATGAAACTAAAAACAACGGCTCAATCTCTGAAACGCAGATAAATTCTTAAAAGGAGGATCAGACAGAAGAAACAGAAAACATAGGCCTAGACTCCTTGGATCTCTTGAGATAAGGAGCCTATATGCCAGGCAATTAACAAATTCCTGAGCATGGTTCAAAAGTTCACTAGGATCTTAAAAACCTTTTATAAATAATTTTATCTATATTAGAATTAACTATATTTCTTTAAGCATGTTTTTAAATAGTTACTTATTAGATCCAAACTTATAGTCATTATTTAGCATTACATTGTGTGCAAGCTTGGTTAAAATACAAACGACTTTCTTGTGGAAACATTTTGAGGCACAGATAGCGCTGCAGCTGCAATCATATATCAAACTGGACAGCGGCTGATACGAGAAGGGTTTGCCGTATATCTGCTTTTGGGGCTCTTTAGCAGGAGGTAATAAAATTAACATTGAGACAGCCCACACAAAGGAAAAGAACACACCTCCTAATGCATATTTAAATGAGGAGATTACGCATTCTATAAAATGATTTGGTTTACAGCAGAAGTTGGAATCTCTTTGTGCTGGGTGAGAGTTTTCCCGGAGGATGCATCTTCTGTCTTTTTTACTCAGTTCTTTCTCTCTGTTCTGTAATGTCTTGGACTTTTGATGTTCTAGGTGAGATGATTATTGTAACATTCTTCTTGCATTGATTTTCTCTGGATAAAACTCTGAATATCTGAAGTCTGACGTCGTACGATTGCTCTTTTCTCTCTGCACACTTACACAGACACAGGAATTCGGGACTAAGAATTAATTAACGAGCTAAGATCAAGTTATTCATTCATTTTTAATTCTTAACAATTGGGGGCTTCGTCCGTCCTTTTCTCTGTGTCTCTGTGTGTGTTGCAGTGGAGACTTGTTTGTTGTGTTAGCCTGTGGACGCAGCTGGGGAACGTTGCGGAGTGATCTGCAGCGCGGCTATCCCACGGACTGATCTTGTTAGTGTGTGATCTCTTTGTGTTGTTTTGTTTCTTCTTATTCTACTGAACCATTAGATAAGCTGACACACCCGTAGTTGGCAGTGGCGCGCCTCAAACCACACTCGACGGAGTGTGGATTTAGCTAGGTTGGCTCGACCTGAGATTTTTACTACACTTAAACGAAGCCTGTGAGTTGGGGTGTGAGGACAGGAAAAGGTTTGAATCGACCTTGGAGTTTTGGTTCGCTCCGAAAGCAGCTGATTATTTGCAGGGCTTATGAGAATTGGCTACGGTTGTATCCACGTTCCAGTTTTGTTCTGGATCGAAAGGACCTCCAGATTTAAAAGTTGAATCACTTAAGCTATTGCCGAGCTTGAAAGGACTTATGCTAAATTGGGAGACGGTCTCCTTCCGCAGCAACTAGTGCTGAAAATGAAAGTGATGTGCAGTGAAGTGCAAGAGACATTGGGGCCCCAAAGAATTAAACTCTTCTGTTATCGATAACAATAGGGGACTTTCCTTTTGCTTTCTTATCTTTCTCATTTTCCTCGTTTGTCTCTGTGTGTTGACGTTATTTTTGATTTTTTCCTGTGTGTGACCACCTTGTCTGTTCGTGTGTTTCGCTGTTTTTTGTCTGTTTGTGTTGTTTCGCCGGCGTGTCTTTGTGTTTTTGTCTTTGTGTTTATGTCAGTACGTTATCTGTTTGTGTGTCGGAGTGACTGAGCCGTTGTTTGTCTGTGTGTTCGTTGTGCGGTGGCCGTGTGAGTTTTTGCCGTTGTCTGTGTGTGTTTTACGGCTCTCTGTATGTTATTGTGTGTATGGGAGACGGCGTTTGCAGCTGCTGAGGGAGTGTTGGTTATTTTGCCGCGGTTTGTGCTTATATACTATTTGAGAACGTTATAAGAATAAGACTCTCTAATATTAATAATATTACCATAAAAACTGATGATATAATTTTTATCAGGCTATGTGCTTATATGGCGGTTTGATTTTAATAATAACAACGTGTTAGCTTGTTAGTCTGCTTCTGTCTCGTGGCTTACGGTACAGGCGCATGTACGGAGCTACATTAGCATTTTAATTCAGCAGTTGGCTTGTTACGTTTGATGTGACTCCGGCTCGCTTTACAGTTGTCATGGCAGATGTAGTTCGTCAATAAAGTGATGTTGTCATTTTGATTGTCTGTTGCACGTAGGCAGGTCGTTGGTTGTTACACATTGTTGTCTGCAGAACAACTGCTGGCTGATTTTTTCCCTGGACAGCTGCGTCTGTGAGTTTACAGGAGGCGACACAGGACAGAAAGTTGTGGACCCGTTTTGGTGAGTTGGCCAGGCATTGAACATTTCTTTATACAATGATTGTTATCTGTGACTTTTTATGGGGACCGGTGAGTTGTAGTAATAATGCTAAATAAAGCGGTGTCTGAGGTTTTGTCGCACCTCAGTCTACTCCATTCTCTGCAGTGCTGGCCTATATTTAGTTGTTGATTAGAGTTTACAGGTAGAACCAATTGCAGGGTCATTTTTTGTTTTTCTCTCTCCTGCATAAATGTTTGATAAGTAAATGTGTTGTTGGTAGCTTTTCTATGGTGATTAGATTTAAGCCTGTTGATTTGTATAGATCGGATTACAAGTGTTTTGCCTAGTTCACCTCTTAACAACAAACAAAAAAAAAAAAGGGAGGTGTGATTGTCTGTGGATAGGATTGGATTACATTACACCAGTATTCAAATCCCTTCACTGGCTCCCTGTGGCTCAAAGAATATATTTTACAATACTGTTTTAGTTTACATATCACTGACGGTTTAGCACCACAATACATCTGAAGATCTGCTGTTGTTGTATCAACTTTCCAGACTATGGTTTGGTTCTGGTTCTGATTCAGAGCCAGAACCAAGAGAGGAACCAGCTTTCAGCATCTGTGCACAAACAATTGGAAGTTAAATTAGTGAGTGGTTTTGTTCGCAGGGCCTGGTTTCACACGTCATAGTCTGGTGCGGTGTCATATTGCAAATCTAATGAATGAGAAACAAATGAAAGTAATTGTATGATGACTAAAATATTAGACTCTTGGCTGTCAGACTATTAGGCTGTCCCGTTTCTTAGATGTGTCTCCTTTGTCACACTGATTATCAGTCACACCTCTGGAGAACAAATGTGAAACTTTGTTTTTGGTGTTGTTCCGTTCAAATAGGAAAGTTTGTCTTTTGGACTTTAATACTGGTGCTGTGTTGTGGATTAATGTCTTTATTTACTTATGAGGGATTTAAATTTGATTTGGGGGAATTTCAGATTTTAGGTTGGACGCTTTCAACTAAATTTTATGATTTTGCATTAAGCGCTAAATCTTCCGTTTTTTTTTCCCTGACCACACACATTTTTACTTAGTTTTGGCTGTTTTGGATGCGGACCAGGGGGGAAATTATTATTATTATTTTTTTTTTTTGCCGCGCTTTCAGTGTGTTTTACAGTTATGTGGGATTTTGAGGAACATCCCAAGGTATTTTTGATAAGGCTGTAGATATGTGGCACAGGAAATCTGGTATACATCCGGCACGGATTTCCAAGATGCAGGAGCATTTTCGGCAAACTGTGTTGGCCGCCGTTCCTCCTTCTGTGGCTGGTTTGATGTCACAAAATCCTGTGTGACCGGATGTGATCATGCAAAATGGGAAACATATTTGTTGCACAGTTTGCACATGTTTCAGGATATGAAGAAAAAAAGGTGGACGATCAAGAAGAATTGTCGCAGCACTTCCTTGGGCTGCAGTTGGAAGATGCTCAGTTCTCAGTGAATACACATAATAAACGGGTGCCTATAGTTCCTGCTGCCCCTCCGAGGGCTACTTTTTTGGCTCAGGCTCCTGTTGCAGGAACACGGTTTGGTCCACACATCTATGATGCTCCAAATTTGCAGACTGAGGTTTCAGCTTGGCATGGTGGTCACAGGCAGGGGCTCAGATGGTCTGGTGTTAGGAGAAAGGGTGGACGACGAAATGCCTGTCGTCGCTGTGGCGAAATGGGACATTGGGCTCTGCAGTGTCCTCATAGGTCGCCGTCATCTGCGGACGATCCTGTCCAACGGACTTTCCCTGCTGAGCAACCTCCGAATGCTGCAGTGATCCCTGGCGGTGCTGGACGCCACCCTCACCATGGAGAACGCTGACATGCCCCACAGAGGCCTTTTGATCAGGAGCGTTGGCAGATCCCCTGATTAGCGGGACAGTTGATGGACATTTATTGTCAGTTTTGGTGGAAACTGGAGCTCTTTTTTCTTTCCACTATGAACACTGCCATGCTTTTTTACAAGACTCTGATATGAATGCACAAGGGCTGAGGTTCTCTGAGGTGAAACAGACTCTGTCAGTGAATACATCTTTGGACACGGTGGGGGCAGATGGACTGATGGATCATGTCATGTCTGCTCTGTCATTTGCCTTCCTGGACAGTTTTTTGCTGCTGCTATAGGAGGAGCATATGGCTGATATGTATGGGGTCTAATTCAGCCAGAAAACACCTGACAGTGCCGGAAACCCTGGATTCTGACACTTGCACCGGATGAGTAGAAGTCTGTTTCCTCATGTCACGCTGTCTGAAAAATCTGAATGAAATCAAGAGCAGTTGGATGTAAATTTAGCGGGTGGGGACTGAATAGTAATTTTTTAGAATTTTGTGGACCCAGAAGTGTTGCTGCCGCAGTTTGTCTGACTATGGTACAATTGGTTTAACATGCAGGACGAAGCAGTAACACACGTTTCTTTGGTTCTGTAACACAGCAATACAGTTCAGGACTTAGATGGTGTGGTAAAATGCCTTTATATGTTTTGAATTTGAACATTATAGTTTCTCCTCCTCTATTTTTTTCTCCATCGACTGACACGTATAAAATATAACAAACAAGAATTGTCTGGGTAAACACTGGTTTTGGGACGTCTTTTGCTCCCTCGTTATCACGGTCTGTTTGACATCACACCAATCACATTTGGTTTTACAACCTCGTCCTCCCATTTGATTTACAGCAATTTCTGGAGACAGGAAGATAGGACAACTGGCAGGACACATGATTTGTAGAAGACTGTTTTGACTTTGGTAACCTTGTAGTGCCGGTCAGTACTTTTGGGTTCCTCTCTGACTTATATTTTTATGTTGATTTTGATAGCGCTTATTTAGTTTTTCTCTTGCCAGGGTTGTAGAGATGTGTTTTCTTCCCTTACACAAGGTGAATATCCGTGGTATGTACTTCTGCCACAGATGTTTTCTTTTTATTTAGGAATGTTTAATTGGGTTTTGTAATGGTACTTGGCTAGTTGTCTATTTTTCAGTAGATGTGATTTTGGTTTAGTATGTTGATAATCTCCTGCTGTCTGCTGCTGCACATTTGGCTATACCTCATTATAATTTGCCATTTAATTTGGATTTTTCTATAACATAACTGATGTTCTTTGCAGTTCTGTTTCAGAAAAAGGGGAGAGCAGATAATTCTCCAGTAAAACATGAGATTGAAATGAGAGAACTGGAGAAAGCATTGATTCTGTGGATGATTCATGCAAGGACTGTTGATGCTTAGATATAAAAGTTTGTAAATGGTAAGTATTGCGATTGAAGAGGTGGAACAGAACCACGTGGTAAAATCATTCAACATCAACAGAGTTTCGCCAGAAGAAACTATATGTGGAAGGCAAGGAGAGCCATCATGAGATGACATCTAATTAAAGAGTATGTGCCATACAGCCCGCACATATATACGAATATGCACATCAATAACTTATTTTTGCAGCTTAAACGGAGACGGTTCATTGTGGGTACACATGTGTGTTTCTCGTTTAGGTTGACATGCTTTCAAATCTATTTTCAGTCAGACATTTTCCCAGGATTTCTTTTGGAGTGTATTTTAATTACAAATTTATTATATTGTATTATACTTTAATAGTTTATTTGAGTTAGAAGGAAGTGCTTAATTGCTTAATTGTTTTGATACACTGAACAGATAGAGAATAAATGTCACTGGTAATCTCTGGCCTTGGCCCATCATTTTTGTGTGTGGTGGCCCGAGTCATAAGAGAAACCGTCACAGGTCAGGTTGATAAGGTGATTCTCCTCAATATTAGAATTAATGTTTTTCCAGGTAACACAGGGAACTATTGAGGTAGGTTTTCACAGGTAGGTATTGAGGGGTTTTTGAAGCCATTTCTCAGGATTTTTTATATACAAGGAGTACAATTAACTGTCACAAGATTTGATTACTTATTAGATTCCAGTGATGGATTCCAGGAACTAATGAGGTAGGTTGATGCTACATTTCAGGTATCAGGATCTCCAGGAAGTGGAACAAAATCCTGGGTTTGAATCATTTTATTTTTGGTACAATATATTATCCATAAGTTGCAGGCAAACGTGGGGATTGAATGGAACAAAATACAAAATTGGCTAAAATCTGTGCACAGACAAAATTTTAATGGGTAGTTGCAGTGCCTGTTATATTGCCTGTTGCTTTGTTGTCTGTTAGGATGTCCATTAATAAATTTACAGGGCTTTTCTCTTCGTACGAGCATGAGATCAGAAGAAGATTTCCAGGGCCAGCCGTCAGAACTCCCAGATGGACAGGTAACCCTGTACATTTATCTCATAAAATTTTTTGATGAGTTACAGTTAATAGCAGCGGAGTTTGTGGAGTACCAGGGGTCACAGGAGAGGTCAGAGAAGTGATCTGCATCAGGGTACAACTGGGTGAGGCTGAAGGTCATCAAAACGGCAGTGGTCTGAATCCTGCTTCACTGAGCTCTACCAAGCCATGGAGAGGACGTCCGAGCCGCTCGACTGACGGTGTGATGAGAGACCTGGTTCTGATGGGGCCAGCAGAGGATCTTCACTTCACATGAGACCCAGAGGAGGAGCAACACTCTGGGCCAGAAGGATAGCAGATTTATTCCTGCTATAGGTTCTGGTTCCTGGAGTTCAACGTTTTGAGGCCCAAAACAGGCATAATAATCCTTTTTGGGTTTTCTCTGATTGAATGAGAGGATGAAATCCCTCAATTACACTCACGGTGTTGGCATAATAATCCAATATTCAGTGAGCATCGCATATTCAGGATGGACGCCTGCTAAAACTGTCGGGATCAAGAAGAAAGGAGTTGCCGATTATTGCGAACTCTTGCGAACTTGCGAACATTTCTTCCTATTTTTTCTCCAGTCTTTTTTAATTTTTCTTCACCAAAGATTTTATATCTTTCAGGAACAATCGATGGACACGAAGCAACATAAAGAAGTAAAGACATTATTGTTTAATATAAGTGTGTGACTGTATGTATTGGTGTTATTTTTCTCTTCACAGCATTGTTGTGTTTTTACTGTTGTTGGTTTTACTGTTGTTGTTTTTACTGTTGTTATTTTAGTGCATAGTTGAATGTTTTTACTGCTTTTAGGTGACAGGAAGTTTTTTGTGTTTTTGTGATTTTGTATTGATGTTATGTGATGTATGTTTTTCTTCTTTTTGATGTGACTGGGGGATCAAGTCTTGTTATTTTTTGGGGTTTTGTTTGTCGGGGGAATGTTAATCTTTCTGTTAAATCCTTATGTGTTTGCTCCCAGGTAAGTATGGTCATACTTTAGGTGATCTCTTTTTTAAAGAGATCAAAAGGGGGAATGTTGACATAGAATTTTAAGTTAGCACAATACTGCACAGGATAGCTTTGACACATATAAAATATAACATAGAAAGTTAAAGTACACTCTAGGTTCATATAAATTTAGATGAAACTAAAAACAACGGCTCAATCTCTGAAACGCAGATAAATTCTTAAAAGGAGGATCAGACAGAAGAAACAGAAAACATAGGCCTAGACTCCTTGGATCTCTTGAGATAAGGAGCCTATATGCCAGGCAATTAACAAATTCCTGAGCATGGTTCAAAAGTTCACTAGGATCTTAAAAACCTTTTATAAATAATTTTATCTATATTAGAATTAACTATATTTCTTTAAGCATGTTTTTAAATAGTTACTTATTAGATCCAAACTTATAGTCATTATTTAGCATTACATTGTGTGCAAGCTTGGTTAAAATACAAACGACTTTCTTGTGGAAACATTTTGAGGCACAGATAGCGCTGCAGCTGCAATCATATATCAAACTGGACAGCGGCTGATACGAGAAGGGTTTGCCGTATATCTGCTTTTGGGGCTCTTTAGCAGGAGGTAATAAAATTAACATTGAGACAGCCCACACAAAGGAAAAGAACACACCTCCTAATGCATATATTTAAATGAGGAGATTACGCATTCTATAAAATGATTTGGTTTACAGCAGAAGTTGGAATCTCTTTGTGCTGGGTGAGAGTTTCCCGGAGGATGCATCTTCTGTCTTTTTTACTCAGTTCTTTCTCTCTGTTCTGTAATGTCTTGGACTTTTGATGTTCTAGGTGAGATGATTATTGTAACATTCTTCTTGCATTGATTTTCTCTGGATAAAACTCTGAATATCTGAAGTCTGACGTCGTACGATTGCTCTTTTCTCTCTGCACACTTACACAGACACAGGAATTCGGGACTAAGAATTAATTAACGAGCTAAGATCAAGTTATTCATCTTTTTAATTCTTAACAGTGTGTGTGTGTGTGTGTGTTTTACAGGCACAAGGAGAGACTAGAGGAAAAACATGAAGCTTTCATGGTGAAGCTGCGGCAGAACTCTCTGCTCGCCTCTCACTTCAGCCAGTGAACGCAGCAGCAGCCGTTCATTCCACCCACCAGGAGTTTCTACTGTGTCCTTTTCTGTACTGATCCATGATGACGCTCTAAAACCGCCGTGTATCAATCAGACGAGTGGAATTAATAATTTGGACTTTGATGTTTCTGTAATTGCAGCGTCTAGAAAATCCAGAATGTGATTTTTTTCCATTGCTGATTCATTTGATCTGGAATAAAAGCAGAACTAAATTCGTTGTCTGTTCTTCTCCTTAAAGCAGCTCAAACTCAGCGACACCGACGAGATAATCTGTAAACATTTTGCTGCAGGTCAATAGATGGATTTAGATTTAGACTTGAACTAGGCCGTTCTAACCCATTGAACAGCTTTGATCTAAACTAGTGATGCACTGATATGACAACTTTAGGCCAATGACAGACTTAACATTGCTGCTATGACCAATAAGCGACATGTACTGATATTATGTATTACATGTATTTTCCTGCCCTTTTGAAACAGCATCACTGTCACATGACCAACAAGATGGAAATAAATATGGACAGTTCTTGGTACTGCTAGCCAAGTACTGTCCATGCTAGCTCCTAGCTAACATTTTAGCTAACAGTGCTAAAATGTTAGCAGCGTTAACCTTGCTAACCTTTTGGCTAACACTAAACCAGTAGATCAAAGTGGCATTTCGGTGAAGCTAATGCTAACGCCAATGCAAACTATATTTGCTCTAGAGAGGGTGGGAGGCATGTCTTGGTTTTTAATTTAACTTTATTTCACTGAAACTTTGCAAAGTTCCTTCACCATTTAATGGTTTTAGGGGAAGCTTGTTACTAATCGTTTACAAAGTTAGTAAAAATGATAAAGTGCAAAGCTAAAACAAAATTTAAAATAGCTTCGCTAAATATTTGCGCAATATTTATCTTTTAATGAACTGAGCATCTTCCCCATCCTTCCTGGATGAAAGCATCCCCACAGCATGATGCTACCACCACCATGGCTCAAGGTAGGGGTGTTTTTTCTACCGCACATAGTTTATTATTTCGGGCAGGAAGTTTCTGTTTTGGTATCATTTGCATAGAGCATCTCCTGTGGTTTCTGTCCCCTACATGCATCTGGTATTTGTGCCAATCAGGACCAGCTCTTTATCCCTCCTGGTGTTCAGACTCTGCAGGCTCACAGCGTCTAATACGGGACAGCTGAGTTTCCATGCTGGCGCATGCGCTGTGCATCCGTCGGAGTATGAGGAGCAGCTGAGGAGCAGATCCGGAGGTAAACAGGCGCTCTGTCGCTGCTTTTCATTAAGAATGTCGACTCTTCGGCAGGTTGGATGCTCTCTGAAAGCTTCTGCTCCAGCAGCAGCGGCTCACAGTCGCAGCTCAGGCTGTTATTCAGACTGAGCTGCTTCTTCTCAGCTGAGGCTAACTGTTAGCTCATCTATTCAAAGTCAATGGAGATTCAGTCCGTTGAGCTGCTCGGCTCTCATGCTAACTTCACCCGTTTGCTTTGAAACGTCGTGGGAATTGAGCAGCGTGTGTTTGTGAGTGACTGTGAGCCGGGAGCCGCGGCGCTGCTCGCTGCAGTTTGACGCTAACAACAACAGATAGCATTAGCTTTTAGCTGCTGTCAAACATCTGAGGGTCTGGGAGGCGGGTCTTGTTCTCTGCTGACAGCTCGGTGAGCCAATCAGCGTCCGAGGCTCGGAGGCGTGCCTTTGTTTTCAATTGTATTCACTTTCAATTTCTTCTCTGCCTTCTTCTACATATTAATTATGAACACATTTTATATAAAAAGTGTTTTCAGAAACGGAGAAAACAAAAGGATGAAATGTTGGGCGGGGTTTGATGTGTGTAACTCAGAAAGTTGCTCAACAAACAGCGCCATCTCCTGGACAACTGAGAGAATACAAACACAAACGATCCTGATGTGGAATAAAAAGTTTCAGTTTTACAGCGGCTCTGTCTTTTCCGGCAGATGAAGACTCCACCAGACAGGTCAGGAATCACCTTCGAGGTCGGAGCTCAGCTGGAGGCGCGAGATCGACAAAAGAACTGGTCTGCATCACACACACACTCACACACCCAGACACACACATACACACACTTACACATTTACACACATACATACATACACACACACAGTACCTAGCATGTTTTAACTATCCTAACCTTCCCCTGGTTTCCAGTCAGACTCTTTCCAATGATATAACTTGTTAACTCAAACAACGTTAGTGAAATAGTAAAATAATGGCTTTGCTGGGCAATTACTGAAAATGATAAAAATGTCTTTTTTTCTCTTATGAGAAACAAAGGTAACTTTACAAACAGCAGCCCAAACTAGTGGGTTAGTCTCTGATGTACAGAAGAAAAGTGTCATCAGTTCTGTGCTGATTGAACAATATGATCATGATGTTGAAACAATAGAAAATATTTCTAATTTTTTTATTCATAATGTTTCCAGGATTGTGGTTAAATTCACGATTAAGTAAATAATTGGACAGGTCAGTTGATCATTTTTGTCGTTCTGCGTGTCTTTGAATCACCTGAGCCGTTGTCTCTTCAGGTACGCTGCCACTATTGAGAAGATCGATTATGACAAGGAGCGGGTTCTGGTCCATTACCGCCAGTGGAGCCGTCGACACAACGAGTGGTTCCACTGGAGCTCGCCGTACCTCCGTCCGCTGGAGCGGGTCAGCCTGAGGAGGCAGGGCCTGACGCCGCCGCAGGCCCAGCCGGTACCAACGCTGCTGTTCATCATGATTAGGATTGTTTTCATAATTGATTATTGCTACAAGTAAAACCTTTAGAATTTAATTTATAATTTGAAAAATCATTTTTTTAAATAACAGATTATGTAAAAATCTGTTATAAAAACAAATTTTTATCTGTTTTTATAACAGATAAAAACAGTTTTCATATCTTTGAGAATCTTATCAAGAGATTCTGTTATAATCTCTTTTTAACAGATGATGAAAATCTGTTATAAAAACACATTTTTAAATGAAAAACAGCCTGATTATTTTCTGAATAACAAAGTTTTTAAATTATTTTTAAAAAATTCTTTTCACACGTTTTATAAATATTAAATCTGATCTTGTTGTTATAACATTTGATTATTTTAAAAGTATAAAAAGTGATTTTTTTTTCAATTTGTATTTCATATGATATATTTAGAAATATTTCCATGATTATTTTAAGTATGTTATTTACAGTAAATGTCTGACATGAAGCATCCTTCTTTGCGCCTCGTGAAGCAGGAACCGGAGCGTTTCCTCCATTGCCGTGTTTCTGTCAGATCCTCGTCTCGGCTCAGTTTCCGTTTTTCTCCTGTTTCCTGTCTCAGGTCTTCGTTTTAGGCTCCAAAGTTCTGGCCTGTTGGACCGACTGCCGCTTCTACCCGGCAAAAATCCTCAAGTCAACAAAGACGGTGAGACTCAACTTTGACCTTTCAACAGCAGAACATACGGGCCAGATTAAGAGATTTCTTATGAACTATCAGAATAAAGACACCTGGAAAAAGTTGTAAAATTTCTAGAAAAGTCTCTTTAATGAGAGCAAAACGTCGACAGAGAGAGCAGCTGGTCGAGTCTGTTGTTCGTTCTGTAAAATAAACCATCGTTTGTTTCAAACTCCTGCTACTTATAATAATTGGACACTGATATTAAATATCATCCTGATTTGTGAAACTGATCTTAAAATGCTCAACATTGACCTTTAGTGTTTGGATTCTTAAAATGATTACTTCATTTTACTAATATTACAACGTTATTCTTGTACTATTATGAGTTTATTTCTATTATTACATCAATCTTCTTATTTGACGTTTTTCTCATATTATTACAACGTTATTCTTGTAATACTGTAACTTTATCAACATTTTGTTCTCATACTTTAGGACTTTGTTTTCATGATATTATGAGCTTGTTCTCATATCATTACGTCTTTTGTTCTCATCATTTTGACTCGCTGTGATGCGACTTCATTCTCATAGTCGGATGTTTTTTCTTTGCCTGGTCCTGATTCCCTGTCATGTCTTTCAACACAGATGTTTCTCTGATGAAAAGCTTGTGTTCACATCTGGTTCTGAATGTGTGAATCTAAAAAAAGAAACATTTTTAACCTTAACTCCAGTTGGACAGCTTTAAGTTTCAGTGATCGGACTAACTCTGCGTTCCCGTCCCAGATTCGTACACGGTGCGGTTCTACGACGGCGTGGTCCAGACGGTGAAGCCGACCAAAATCAAACCCTTCCACGAAGTAAGAACCGCTGCACCTTCCTCACCTTCTTCCAACAGCTCCTCATCTTCACTGATGCTGCTGTCTGGCGCAGAGGTCCAGATCAGAGAGGAGCGCAGTGGGGAGCGAGGGATGGGAGGAGGGCGAGAGTGAGGAAGAGGAGCAGAACCCCAAAGAGGAGGGAGGCCAGGAGACGCAGGAGGAGGAGGAGAAGGAAGGAGGGAAAGAAGAGGAGACTTCAGAGGAGAAGGAAGGAGCTGAGGAAAAGGAGGAGGAGGAGAGGAAGACAACAGAGTCTTCTTCCTCTCATTCACCAACGAAGAAGAAGACAGAAAACAGTGAGTTAAGATTTGAGCCCTGATGTTTGTCTACAGGTTGAAGGTAAATGTGGTTTGTTTTTCTTGTCTTGCAGACAGAAGTGATGTAGTTCAGAAACAGCCAATCACAGCAGACTCCACCCTGGCAGCAGTTCCTAACCCGCCCACATTGACAAAGGTAACCAATGAGCTCCGGGTCAGCTGATGTTCCCTGTCGTCGTACATCTTGTGTCAGTTCGATGATCGCTCTGTGCCGTTGTTTCCATAAGCTTCTGATTTATTGAGTGTTTCACTCAAATCTGGAATTCACATTTAAAGCAGATTCAGTTCTAATTAGAGGTGCATTGATTACAGTTTTCTGGCCGATCACTGATCTTTAAAAGCTGGACGTGCCAATTCTGAATTTTATTTTGTCTGAGAAAAAGTTGGTAAATATTGTGGTCAGTGGCCGAGTTTCAGATCGTTTTGAATGTAGATAGATCGGTTTCTGATCTGAGGATCGGTTTCTGATCTGAGGATCGGTTTCTGATCTGAGGATCGTCGATCTCCAGTTCATCCAGTGATCCTCTCCTCCTCCTCCTCTTCCTCAGACGTCCTGATGGAGCGCCAGGCTCACCTTCCCACCACACACAAGTTCAGCAGAGAGCCATGTAAGCTCCGCCCACCACTGGTCTAGTTTTATATCTCAGAACAGCTGAACTAAGACAAAACTAACTTACAAATGACTTCTCAGAAAGATAAAGCAGCTTGTTTTAAGTTAATTATTCCCTGATATTGACAAAAAGCACAGTTTTCACAGATCCTTAATTGTCTATGAAGGAATTGTTGACTCAAAACAAGGTCCTTTATTTTTGCTGAGAAGTTATTGAAAGGTTTTTTTGTCTTATTTGGAGATGTTGGCACCAGGAGCCAAAGTGCTTGTTTAGGTTGTGTTGTGCAGCGTCTGATTGGCTGATTGCTCCTGCAGTGTACAGGGTGATAAAGAACCAGCCTCCTCCTATCCTGTCCATCGAGCTGGACCACAACCCCTTCAAGTGTCCGGCTGCCGGCTGCTCCAAGTCCTTCAGGAAGGCCAGCCTGCTGCACTACCACATCAAGTACTACCACTCTGAGCAGCAGCTGGACGCCGGCGAGCCCGAGGCCTCCAGGTGAGTCCAGGTGAGTTCAGCCCACGGCTTCCTTAATGACCCCTGACCTTCTGTCTCTACTGCCGCTGCAGGAGGAAAAGGTCTGCTTCTGAAGGAGGCGACTTCCCGTCCGGCAAGAAGGCCGACGTCCAGACCGGCAGCTGTCGCCGTGATGACAGAGAGCAGAGCATCATGGGTGGGTCGGAGCTCCGTGATTCTCACACAGACTTCTGTGGGGCAAAATGAGCCAAACGTCTGGATTGTGTCTGCAGAGCTGAAGAAGGAGGAGAGGAAGGAAAAACCAGGAGGACACGACAGGAAGGAGAGGAAGCACTTCCTGCGCGTCAAACTGAGGAAGAAGAAAAAGAAGAAGAAGAAGAAGAGCCACTCAGGTAACGGAGGATCTGGATTCCTCCTCAGCCTGCTTTTCAGTTCAGATTATTAATCTGATCAGTGGAATCATTTGTCTGCCTGCGTTGGTCGTGTTTGCAGGATTCGGCAGCAGCGACGACGACGCGCCGGACCGACCGCCGGACCGACCGCCGCTCACGCTGAAGCTTTCACACTCACACGGTCCGAGCAGAATACTCTCCAGATGTTCTCCTTTCTCTTTAAAACACCAACAAAACTCTGACTGTGTTTCTGCTTCCAGTTGACGACGGCAGCGACTGGTCGACGCTGACGGCTGAGAGCGGCGAGGACACGTCCTGGCCTGTTGCCACAGAAACAGAGGACTGTGAGGTGGTGAGGTGTGTGTGCGAGGTGGACGAAGAGAACGACTTCATGATTCAGGTAACACACACACAGAGACACACACACAGAGACACACACACACAGAGACACACACATACAGAGACACACACACAGAGACACACACACAGAGACACACACACACAGAGACACACACACAGAGACACACACACAGAGACACACACACACAGACACACACACACAGAGACACACACACACAGAGACACACACACACAGAGACACACACACAGAGACACACACAGAGACACACACACAGAGACACACACACAGAGACACACACACACAGAGACACACACACAGAGACACACACACAGAGACACACACACACAGAGACACACACAGAGACACACACACACAGAGACACACACACACAGAGACACACACACACAGAGACACACACACACAGAGACACACACACACAGAGACACACACACACAGAGACACACACACACAGAGACACACACACAGAGAGACACACACACAGAGACACACACACAGAGACACACACACAGAGACACACACACACAGAGACACACACACACAGAGACACACACACCTAGACACACACACACAGAGACACACACACAGAGACACACACACAGAGACACACACACAGACACACACACAGAGACACACACACAGAGACACACACACACACACTCCATAAAAAGTCATATTTATATGAAAACTTTGACTATTTTTTAATATTTTATTTTTGAAATAAAGCAAAATTTGAGACCAAAGTGGTTCTGAGCCATTGATAAACAGTGAATTAATCAGTAAAACTGATCAGACTCTATGGAGTTTTATTGCTGAAACGAAACCTGTTCTTTCACTGTTGACTTTTTGATGCGGTGAACCGCAGGGCTTCGTTCTCAGTCCTCCTCCTGTTCAGCTTGTTCACGTCGAGGTGAGGCTCCAGTTTCAGGCAGATCACAGCTCCAGGTCCCTGCTGCCAAACGCCTTCTTGACTTCAGTCTAAATTAAAGATTGTTCTAGCTGTGTTTTAAAAAATACATTCATATTAGTTGTGCTTCCATCCACTGTGAAGCTGGCATAAAAATGTCAGAACCTCATTAATCTGGAGGTGATCAGCCACACAAAGCATTGACTTTATCAACAGGAAGTAGAAGTTGAAACCAGACTTCTCTCCTCTGAACTCTGGAGGTTTGGACTTTGAAATTTCTCCGTTTTATTCAGCAAGCGTATTTCCATTTCTGCTATGGCGCATTAACTCTTTATCGAAAAAGCCAAAAATCTCCTACAGCTATAAAACACAGCTAGTGTAAAAACCTGAAAACAAACAGAAACTTTCCAAATGTACGGAATATTTTTTAGTTTTACCATCGACCTTTCAAATCAGCTTCTCGTTTCACGTCTATAAATTCAATCCTTTCCTGTTCTTCACTCAGATTTTCTGATATTTGTGATACTTGTATGGATCAAATCTTTTTCTGCAGTGCGAGTCGTGTCTCTGCTGGCAGCATGGAACCTGCATGGGTCTGTATGAAGACAACGTTCCTCACAACTACATCTGTTATTACTGCAGGCAGACCTCAGGTAGGATCCCCCCGCCGCGCTGCCGGGGCAGGAAGCTGCCGGGGCAGGAAGCAGCAGGAATCTTCCTCTGATCCGTCTGCTTCCTCTGCAGGCTGGAGGCGGGCCCAGCGCTTCCTGTCTGAACCTGATTTGCTGATCTCGGGTCACATGTTCGGCCTGTCCTGCGTGAAGGAGAACTACTCAGAGATCAACGCCTCCAAGATCTCCCACACCAGCCACCTGCTGGCCCAGACGCACAGCCTGCACCAGGTCCTGAGCGGCCTGCAGCTCAAGATCAGCCTGCTGCAGTGAGTAGAGCAGTCAGCCCACCACCAGGAGGCGCACATCTACAGAAACTCAGCGTCCCTGTCTCGGTCTGCGCAGCGCTCCGTCCCACCCCGACCTGCAGCTGTGGAGATCGCCATGGCGACAGGAGGAGGCTCTGAGCCTGACGTCCGGCCAGCAGGACGAGCCGCCCATCTGCTACGTCAGCAGCGAGCACTGCTACCAGAAGCCAGAGGCATCATGGGAAGTGGCTGAGGAAAAGGTAGGAGAGGTCAGTCTGAAATAAACTTCACACTCTGAGGCGCCTGCAGACGGAGTCACTCCCCTTTAAGTTCTTCACGTTTTCTGAGACAGATCAACAGAGGAGATGAAAAATAACATTCTGCAGAGTCTTTATTAAACCACCTAAGGCTTGGAGTGGCCTAGTCAAAGTCCAAATCTAAATCCAGCTCATAACCTGCAGCAAGACATTAAGATTGATTCTCCATCCAATTAGATTTTGGCCAAGTCAGAAGAGGAAAACGAGCAGACTTCAGCTGATTGATCATTTTATTGTGACATTTTTAAAACCAACCTGAAATCCCAGTAAAGAATCTTCGGTTCTAATTGTTGTTTCTGTTTGAAGCCTGAAGATCTGAGGAAACAACCTTCTCTGAGCATCATGGACGCCAACGCCGTGTGCCACTCAGACGCTCGCTTCTTCTTCAGCATCAAGCCGGAGAGCCACTCGGAGGACGCCGGCCACGCCCACAGACAGGCCGCCGTGTCTGTGGCTCAGTGTCGGCTCAACCTGCTGGAGCACGTGGAGGCGCTGCATCACCAGATCACCGCCAGGATGGACCTGATCGAGCGAGAGCTGGACGGGTAAGACGCACAGATACAGGACAGCTTTTGAATGGATGAGGAGACTGAGAAAACGTTCTTGTTCTGCCTGCAGTTCTGGAGTCTTGGCTGGATCACTCTGGGGAGCTGGAGCCTCCGGATCCTTTGTCCCGCCTCCCGCAGCTGAAGCAGCGAATCAGGCGCCTGCTGAGCGACCTGTGTACGGTGCGGCGCCTGGCAGTCTGCCGCTGAGCGACCGACAGCCGCAGGCGAGTGGAAACGTAACGCTCTGTGAGTCGGTTCTGCTGGAAGAACTTTTTTGTAAAAAGAGACTAAACCCAGAGCTGACCTCCATGACCTGTCCTCTGATTGGCTGGCTGCTCCGGTTACAGACGCACCTCCGAACATGAACACAGATCATTTTATAACTCAGATTTTGTAATTGCACTAATGTTAATACCAACTGTATTTTTTTCTGTTTTGTAATCTTAAAAGAAAAAAACACAATGATGAGTTTTAAAGTTTGTTGGAACCACAAAGTTTTTTTTTCTTCCCAGCAGCAGAGTTTCATTTTCATCCCCAGAAGCTTCATTTGTTCAGCTGTAAACAGATGTCTGCAGAATACCTGGGAGTGCCTGCAGGGGGCGCCTCCTTTCTTCTTCTATGGTTTTAGGTTTATGTTTTAACGGCTGTTTTGAATAAGAACTGGGCTCAGCAGATCTGGGCCAGAATCAGCAGATGGTCCCACTGTGTGTTTACTGGCTTACCAGTAAACAAACGAGCCACAGCCACTGACCCACTGGTCCCACTGGTCTCTCTGGTCCCACTGGTCCCACTGGTCTCTCTGGTCCCACTGGTCCCACTGGTCTCTCTGGTCCCACTGGTCCCACAGGTCTCTCTGGTCCCACTGGTCTCTCTGGTCCCACAGGTCCCACAGGTCCGGGATGAGCGGGGCGGCTCGGCGCACAGCTTTGACGTCAGTTTAATTGAGATGTTTTGTAGAATAAACCAGATTAAACTCCTGATGGATCAGGACAGATTTATTTCTGAGATTCTGGCTCGGTTCCACTGGAGGACAGATGTAGGATCATCTGAGCTCAATCGTTCCGTCTGATATGTGATGACAGCAGAATTGATCCAACCCTTTTGGTCTCGGATCTCCTCTGTGATCCATTGGTCGGGTCTGGTTCAACAGTTCTGCAGACTTCCTGAAGTTTCCTCTGAAAAGCTGCTGTTTTACTTCCAGTCCCTGATTGTTCCAGCTTTATTAGAGTTAGCACTGTGGAGGTTCTGGTTCTGCTGCGGTTCTGTTACCCGCCTGATCTTCTGGATCAGATGATGGAGATGATGATCCAGGACATCATCGTCTGAGGCAACGAGAAACGCCTGCAGCAGCAGCTCCATCTATCGGCCATCATAGTTCGGAAAAGCTCTAAATTAAGTTTCTGGTCAAAAGGCTGAAACCTGAAACAATAAAATCCTGGCAGCCAAATGACAAATATTAATCTGAGTGAAACTGGATTCACGTTTGGATGATTCATCTGCTGAACTCCAGATATTTAACTTCACAGAAGCTGAATGAAACTGACGATTTGGCCTTTAATGCGTTTGTGCAGCAGATCCGGCAGGAATGTCTGGTTCCAACTAAAACCTGTTTCTATGTACATACAGCTTAAGTTTTGTCATATCCACTTAAATATTAGCTGTTTTAATGAAGACAACGTGTAAAATCAGCTCCTAAAAGCTCCCAGATCTTAGATTCTGTTTTTCTTTAGTTTTATTTTTGCATCGGTGCTTTATGAGCTTCCCTCTGCATACAAGCAGAATCAGTTTTCTTTCTCACCGTTTCAACATTTTTTTTTTTTTTTTTTACTGAGCCAAGAGAGCTGCTTCGTTTCAGTTCAGAGCTTCTTCACACCATGGCTTGGAAATGTACAAATGTTAATCTGAATGTTTTTACGCTTGTATAAGAAACTGTACAAACCTGTAGATTTATTTTGATAGAGAGACGGATGGACCGTTTTTCAGAGGAAAGTAGATTTTTTCCTGAAAGTAAAGCAGTAAAATGTATCCAACACTTTGTTCTATTCGCTGGTTTTGATCCGATGGCGACGCCTTCAGAGCTTCTGTTTCCTGTCGGTAGTTTAGACGTCCAGCTCTAGATGTTCCTCATTAACCCGTCGAAGCTTCGCTGTTCATTTAGTTTCAGGCTGAAGGTTTTTGTTTTTCAGAGATTCTTCTGTTGAATAAAAATGTTGAAACATGACCTGCTGCAAGTTTTATGTCTGGATTTTTTCTCAACCATGAACATAATTCAGAAACATTGTTTTGTAAAAGATCATTATTTGGCAGTGACCACGTTTAGCTACATTCACCGTAGGTTTATAAAAATTTCCTGCAAAGTTTAGCTTTTACACCTTCAGTTTATTCAAAGGTTTGTTTTTATCTTGTCATGCAACAACAGGGTGTCCAAACGTTTTGTCATGTGAAGCATCACAATTTTTATGCTTCTTGTAGAGAAGAAGCATCTTGTTGTTGTTTTTGAAAAGATTTTGTATGTTTGCTGCAGTAAAGAAAAGGAGATAATTTGTTTGGGCTCAGTTAAAGAAATTTATTCTGTTGTTAAAACATAATAAATTTGGAAAAAGTTTTTTTTTCACTAAAATCTCCTGACATACTTGGTTCTACTTGCTATAAAAGCCTAGTTATAAAAAGACAGATGTCTTGTACTATACTTCATATTTTCCATTGTAACAAAATTATGTCAGTAATTTTACTCGTTTAAATTAAAGGTTTGATAAATTTGAACCAGTTTCTGACTGAAGTTCAGTTACTTTATGCCTCATTTTAACAAATTGTTACACGTCTGCTTTAAAAAAACATTTTGAGAACATTTTTACTGCAGAGTAGATTGCTGACTTATAGTCTCCATTTAAATATTTACATCAGCAAACACATTACATATTGGGAAAAGATGAAATATTTATGAACTTTACCTCAAATTATCCAACTGATCTCAAAGCAAATTTGTAGAGAAACTAAATAAGAAAACAATTTTTATTTTTACAAAGAGATTTTCTGTCTGGAGGAATATTAAGCAGAATTAAAGGACGCTGTAACGTTTCTGAAAGTCCTGCTGTTTGTTGGTGTGTGAGCGATAATTACAGAGTTACTGTCCGTACAGCAGATGGTCCCACTGTGTGTTTTCCTCCTGAGCGACGATCTAAATATGTTCTGCCTGGAAGAGAGCAGGCGCGATGTTTAAGGTGTTGCTCACTCCCAAACAGAACCATCTACAGGAAGAGCTGAGATATAAACTAACATGAACAGAAGTCCATTCAAACTGTTGTACATTTAATTATGACTTTGTTTCTCAACATTTTAGCTAAGATATCAAAACAATAAGTAATCTTTACTCATTTTCACTTATTTTTTTCATATCAGTGAAAATGTACGTTCATGGGATGGAGGAAGTGTATTTAGATACTTTATTACACCTAAACAAAAAAATCCATCTATAAACATAAAGCTCCAAGTTGCTGAAAAATTGTTGAAATATAAAAGTGAATCCTGGTCATTTCTTTAATGTCAAGTGATTAAAACTTTGTGGGAGGATATGCACAATGCAATACATAACAGTTTTCACAGTGAACTGCCTCTTGTTTAATTGCATTCAAGAAGGAACTGTTTACCAAAACAATATAAATAATTTATATAAAATCACAAAGATCATTTTACAGAGAAAATGCTGCTTTGTCTGTAAAAGACAAACAAAAACCTCAATATACTCGTTTATAGCTGTTGTTTTTGTTTTGTGTTTCATGCATCCATTTCTCTTCATTTTATTTCATTTATTTTGTTATAAAGGGAAATAAAAATAATTTGATAAATGGAAGCAATGCATATGATCTGTTTGTGAATGTGATTAATATTTTTTTGTGTGTGCTGTTTATATCATGGAAATGAGCCTTTTGCTAAATCCAATGTATTTAATATTTCAGTGTATAATGTGAATTGACTAAATAAGATCAAATCAGTACAAGTAAACATAGGAAAAAATTCAAATAGGTGTTAAAAGTAAATGTAGGTAAATAAATGTATATTCAACTGAGAGCAAAGATCTTGTAAGTCAAGATAAGTGCTGACATATAAAAAGCATTATTATTATTATTATTATTATTATTATTATTATTATTATTATTATTATTATTAAATCTCAAAATTATTATTTGAGTCCCACATGACAAGCTGATTTTTTTTTATGACACATAACCAGAATCACCTTTTATTTATGTGGGTTTCTGGGGAATATTCACTGGGCTGGCATGAATCATACTTGTTGTTTTCTGTCCCTAAAGTAAACATCGAGGCCCCGCCCCTTCTGGCCCTGCCCCTTCTGGCCCCGCCCCCTCTGGCCCCGCCCCCTCTGGCCCCGCCCCCTCTGGCCCCGCCCCCTCTGGCCCCGCCCCGCCGCCCCGGGCTGTCCGCGTGCGGCAGAACGGCCAGAGACAGAACCCTCCTCGCGACCCGGTGAACAAACTGCTGGTTACCAACGGTTACCTGCTGCCGAACCGGACTGAACCGCCAACCGACCCGCTTCAGGGCGACCCGACTGACGGTGAGCGGGAAAAACACTCCATTAGAGTCCGTTAACTGGGGACTGGTTGCCTGGTGACGACTGGCAAGCTAGTTAAAGCTGCTAACTGACCAATGGGAGCGTTGCTCCTGCCAAGCACTGACTCAAGGGTTCCGTTTGGGGAACGGTTCGGTTCGGCTCGGTTCTGATGGAGCTCGCCTACATGATGTCGTTGTTACGGATTACAGGTGTGTGTGTGTGTGTGTGTGTGTGTGTGTGTGTGTGTGTGTGTGTGTGTGTGTGTGTGTGTGTGTGTGCGCGTGCGCGCGCGGGCAGGGGATGTGGTCTCCCATGGTAACTGTTGCTAAGGCTCCCGAGGTTACCATCAGATTGTGGCTGTAATGTGGGCGGACAGCTCAGCTTCACGATCAGATCTGCAGCTGCTGACCCAAATTACCGAGTGTTTAAAGTAAAGGCTGATTTCGATCATTCATCCTTTCTGCTTCTCTGCCTGTTGGGAAGGTGAGTCATGTCTTTCTGCCTGTTCACCACCAGGAGCGAAGAGGAGGAGCGACCTGGAGAGCTTTAAGTTTCCAAACTGTTTCTGTGGAATTTCATCACCTCAGCTCACCAGTCCTGGAGTAATTTATCCATATGAGCTCCTGTAGCAGTCTGTTTCAGGGGTTCTGATGAGGCCTCTGACTGGAGTTAGTGAAGCAGAATCTCATCATGTTTTTCCGTTTTGTTTGGCATTCTTTGAGAAACTGTCGTATTAGAACTGGGTTGGTTTCAGAACCGGGTCGGTTTCAGAACCGAGTTCGGGTTGTTGAGAGTGACCGAAGGCCTGTCGTCATAAGCAGTAAGTCAATTAATCACATGATCAGTTAAAACAAACTGAATAATTTCTTTACATGATTTTATCTTTTTCTCAGCAAGCTCTTATTTTGAAGGACAATTTTGTTTACAAGACTTCATAATTATTTTTTATCTAATGTTTCGTTTATTTATTTAATTGTCTTTCAGTCCCAGTGTTTATTAAAAGTTTACTTATATTTCAGAATATGTTGTTGCATTATTATGCCATTACTATTATATAACTTGAAAATGGTCTGAAAACAACAATATTATTGTTTATTGCTGTAATTTCTGGGGCAATTTATTCCCCAGTATAATTTGTCATGGTGACAAGCCTTGTCTGCCGCCCGTTTTGGGAACTGACAGTCAGAACCATGAGGGGGCGTCACACTACATCTAGAAAGAGCGTAGCGGCAAGATGGCGGATGATTTGCCTAGAAAGTCGGTTGGGTTAAGGAGGTGTGAATGCTAATCCAACTAAAGCAACAAACTCTGGTCCGGTTCGTCAGAAACTCGGTCTGGGTTTGAACTGGTTTGGTTCAAATGCATTATGTGAACACTGGAAATAAGAAGCAGAGTCCAGTGCAGGGCATTCTGGGTAAGAATCCATCCAACTTTAAATCCCTTATCGTCAGTCAGTCTGATATGCTGTATCTATTTACACCTGCGTACTGAATGACCAGCGACTTTCTGGACAAGAGGCTAAAGTGTAGAAGTTTGGTCATAATGCACAGATGAAACCAAACTCAGCCAATCAGCGGCATGGGAACAGCCGATCGGCCGCGGCGTGGGAACAGCCGACCGGCCGGCGGCGTGGGAACAGCCGACCGGCCGGCGGCGTGGGAACAGCCGACCGGCCGGCGGCGTGGGAACAGCCAATTGGTTTCAGACTTTTCTGCATCTACAGGAAGCTTTTCAGGACCTCATCTAGTGTTCTGAGTTTTTGTGCTGTTTGGTTCCTCTGAGGGAAACTGGACCCAGTCAGACCCCAGCAGCAGAAATAAACCCTGAATCACTTCTGCCATGCAGGCAGGATTCTGGATCCACTCTGGACTGCAGGTGGAGCCTGGTGGAGGAGGATGCTAAGCATTTCTTCCTGCTGAACGCTGCCTCCTGCTGGTCAGGCTGTCCGTTAGCTTTACACTGACCAAAGTGGAGTTCTGTTGTTTCTTCTTCATCATTTTAACCCAGCCATGCTAAATGAACAACAACTGTCTTCAGTCAGAGGCTTCTTCAGATTCACTGTAACATGGACTGCTACATCAGATCCTTCCTGCCTACAACTGTCAGCATCTAGAATAACTCTGTAAGAACCTGAATAGTCACAACAACATTTAATATCTCTTTGGTTTCAATAAAGTAATCTGGAAATTAATTGAATTGAACTGAAAAATTGAAAACATGATAAATGACTTGAAACTGGAAGAAGATCCAGGAGGTTCAGAAATAATTTCCTGCAGTCATTAGTCTACAAAAATCATCAAACCTGATTAATTACTGAACTAAAGATCACTCTTTATGTATTTAAATTAATATTGTGATTTGTTTTTGTTTCTGTACTCTGAAGTATTTTGGGATAAAATCAAAGGAGGCTGATGTGTGTTTAACTCTCATTGTATTCCTAAAATGTGAGTTTATGGTCTGGAAGAAGATAGCTGAATATCTGTTTCTGAACTGTCGTTGTATTTATGCTTATTGGATTTTCTTTATTGAAGAAAACAGGAAACACTTTATTCAGGTTCCTGTTGACTTCTTGCTGATTGAGGCTTGATTTAATGTTCTGCTTTCTGTTTGACTTCAGATCAGAGCCAAGTTGCCTTTAGGACACAGTTTATCTAACCAAAACCCAATCTGCTGAAACCTGTCTGCACACCACACACACACACACACACACACACACACACACACACACACCCCGACACACACACACACCCCGACACACACACTGACACACACACACCCCGACACACACACACACCCCGACACACACACACACACGCACACATACACACACACACACACACACCCCACACACACACACTGACACACACACACCCCGACACACACACACACCCCGACACACACACACACACGCACACAACACACACACACACACACACGACACACAAACACACACACTGACACAGACACACACACCCCGACACACACACACCCCGACACACACACACACGCACACACACACACACACACCCCGACACACACACACACACACACACTGACACAGACACACACACCCCACACACACACACACACACACACACACTGACACACACACACACACACACACACACACACACACACTTCATGTTTCCATCAGATTGGCTGGAAACCTCAGGCTGAGTAAATCTGATGTTATTGAATATTTTATTAAACAATAAAAACATGACGGGACTGAAGAGTTTTTCATTTCCCTCTTTGTAAATAAATGTGTTGGAACATTTGTGGATTTTTACAAATGGTTTTGAATTTGAAGTGAAACTGGTGCTGATCCAGTAGAGCCATGGTAACAAGCATCAAGATGAAAGACTTTCCTGAGTCAACAATTTACGATAAAATCAGATGGTTTCTGGAGTTCAGTCTGTGTTGTTCTTGTCGGCTGTGGGCAGGAAGGATCCACCATCTTCCAGTTTTGTAACATTTTAATCAGAGGGTCAGAGATGAGATTGTTTCATGAACTGTTCCCAGATTTAGGAATGTTTGTGTATATTCTCAATGTAAGTCTCACTTTCATTAGTTCTCTGACAGTTTAGAGTCTTTCAGTCACAGAAACATTTGAAACTCTAGTCGACCGAAGGACTTGAGCTGCAAAACGCATTTAAAGATGCTGCAAACAGCTGCAATTAAACCAATTCAGTTATTATCCCATCACTGGCAGGACTTCCTGCTAACAGCTGCACCACTGTGTAATTTACCTCAGATCAACGACTGACCTTTGACATTTGAAACAAGCTGTGATTGTGCAGCTGTGTTTCTTTTTCTGGGTGATGAATGGATGTTTAGTTTAATTCTCTCCTTCCTGTCCGTTTAAGGTGTTTTCTACCAGCTGACTGGTGTGAAACACTGAGATCATGGAGGAGCTTCACGACGTGCAGCTGACGGAGGTCAAACCTCTGCTCACAAGACAGGTGAGGGGCGGGGCTTAGACAGCTCAGACATGGCGTGATGAAGCTGACATCGTCCTGGTAGCCCTGATAAAGAGCGATGACCAGCTCTGTGTGTTGTCGTTGCAGAATAGGGCCAGCCTCCAGGACGTCAACAGCAACGTGAGTTCAGCCCGTCGGCTTCACAACTGATTAGTGTGGAAGGATTCAAACCACTCAGCACAGAGTTAGCGTTTCATAAAAGTCTGAGTTTGTGTGTCGTCCAGGCACACCACGTGGAAACGGCGCATGGAGTGCTGCACGTCACCATGAGGAACGTTGGCAAGGGCAACCGACCCACAATCCTCACCTACCACGACGTTGGACTGAACCGTGAGTAAACGGGACGCTGCAGATGGAGACCAGAGGACATCTGGATGTGTCCCGATGTCCTCGTGTCTCTCTGTCTGTCTGTGTGCAGATCAGTCTTGCTTCAACACTCTGTTCAACTTTGAGGACATGAAGGAAGTGATGCAGCATTTCTCTGTGCTGCATGTTGACGCTCCTGGACAGCAGGACAACGCTCCAGTCTTCCCCTCTGGGTAACACACACACACACACACACACACACACACACACACACACACACACAGACACACACACACACACACACACACACACACACACACACACACACACACACACACACACACACACACACACACACACACACACACACACCCACACAGACACACACACACACACACACACACACACACACACAGACAGACACACACTAACCCACCCTACAGACACACACACACACACACAGACACACACACACACACACACACACACACACACACACACACACACACACACACAGACAGACACACACACACACACACACACACACAGACACACACACACACACACACACACACAGACACACCCACACAGACACACACACACACACACACACACACACAGACAGACACACACACCCCCCCCACACACACAGACAGACACACACAGACAGACACACACACACAGACAGACACACACACACAGACAGACACACACACAGACACACACACACACACACACAGACACACACACACACACACTCCATAACCAAGTGGCCTCTAATTAGCTCTGAGTGTGTGTCCAGGTACCAGTACCCCACCCTGGAAGAGCTGGCCGACATGCTGCCGCCTGTCCTTTCCAAGCTGCAGTAAGTCCTTCGTCCTTTGGAGCAGGAAGGGAGTGTTGCGGCAAGGTCACTCAGAGGTCACTCTAAGGTCACTCTGAGCCTGGTTGTGTCTTCAGGGTGAAGAGTGTGATCGGTATCGGCGTCGGAGCTGGAGCCTACATCCTCGCCAAGCTGGCTGTAATTAGATGCACCCAGTCATCCTCAGTTCCATTCTGACTCCTCCCACTGCTCCCAGTAAAACCAGTTGTTGTTTCAGCTGAACAAGCCCAACTTGGTGGAAGGCTTGATTCTGATCAACATCGACCCGTGTGGCAAAGGCTGGATGAACTGGGCCGTCTCCAAGGTAACCGTCTCCCCAGATGCAGGCGAACGAACGAAGCAGAGACACAAACTGAGCCTCCATTTTGTTTCCTGCAGCTGAGCAGCTGGACCAGCAGCCTGGTGGACAACATCATGGAACACCACTTCACCTCTGTGAGGGACACCGCACCGTCCTCATGTCCCACAGCATGTCCAGACAGCACTTTATCTGTGTGTGTGTGTGTGTGTGTGTGTGAGCAGGACGAGTTACTGGAGAACAAGGACATCATTCAGATGCTGAGACTTCACATCTCTCAGGACATTCCTCAGGAGAACCTGGCCTTGTACTTCAGCTCCTACGAGAAGTGAGGTGCCGCCGCTCACTTCCTGTCAATTCTGTCGGTTAATCCTGATTAATCAATCAGAGAAGTACTGATTTGCTTGAAATCAAGCCTCTGCTGCATCCCAGTGCTAACTAGAAACAACCAATCAGGGCCAGCAGGCTGGTCTTAGCAATGCTAAAGCTAGTTAGCATGGCCACCATGATGCTGGCAGATAAACTGTTTTTCTGTGATGATAACTTGTTTCTCCACCATCAGAACATTTAGGAGCAAGTACATGAGGATGATATACTTCTATATTAAAACTGTCAAAACATGGTGACAGTTTTAATAAATATGTAAAAACATGTAACTTATAGAAGTTATTTTATGCAATTAATGCCCTGTGTGTGTGTGTTTCTGTGTGTGTGTGTGTGTGTGTGTGTGTTCTGTGTGTGTGTGTGTGTTTCTGTGTGTGTGTGCATGTGTGTGTGTTTGTGTGTGTGTGCGCATGTGTGTGTGTGTGTGTGTGCATCAGCCGTGTTGACCTGGAGATAGAGCGGCCCGTCCCTGGTCTCACTGGAAGCAGCATCGTCACGCTCAGGTAACTCCACCCCCAACCTGAACTCACCTGGTCGCCCGGTTCCTGTCGGCCGCTCTGATTGGCTGGTTGTTCCTCAGGTGTCCCGTTCTGCTGGTGGTCGGAGACATGTCACCTTTTGTGGATGCCGTGGTGAGTCTCCACCCTCTTCCTCAGCTCTCTGATTGGCCATCTGTCTGTCTGCAGTATTTATGTTTATTTCCTGTTCTTATTTTAAAACTTCATATTTTTCTGGATTTTTGTCATTTTAAGAAGTTTTGTTTGTTTGTTGTGCAGGTGGATTGTAACTCCAGACTGGATCCCAGCAAGACCACCTTGCTGAAGGTAACCACCTGTTCAGGCATTGTTACCATGACAACATCTGTTAATTATTGCAGTAAATATTGTATTCAGAACATGTTCAAGTAATATATATTGATACTTGGCATGATAATGCAAGCTCGCCTCTCAAAGAACAAAAAATACTGGAACTGCTTACTTATCCAAAATAAAACAACCCAAAACAATCAGTAAAAAAGAAATTAAAACCATAAATAAAACAGTTTATTATGTCTCTGCCTATGAAATTTTCCTTAAAAATTTTTAATCACAATAATGGAATATATCAAGCTCATTTTAATTTATAATGTGATTAATTGATTGACTATCTGTTATATCCAAATACGTCACTTTGTTGTCTTTTTAGTTTTTCTAAATTGTTTATGGAGAGAAATTTGTCCCAATATTCTTGCAAGCAAAGGACATGTTCAAAAATTAAACTTTGAGAAACTTCATCAAAAAAATTAATTTTGAGAAAAATGTACTGAGGCTATGAAAAAGATGAACCTGCATTTGTTCATCTTTTAATTTTTTTCTCAAAGAAAACTTTGAGAGCAAGTTTTATTAATTGCATTCATTTCAAATTGAGTTTTACAGATTATGTTCCAAACTACGGAAAGCCAAAAGTGTCACAAAACGCCTCTTTCATCACACATCCGATTAAAACATTGGTTTCTGACTGAGGACGCTGTAAAAAATGGCCAACATCCTGTCAACACGCCACTTTTTCGCCATTGTAATACAACCTGCATGTGAAACGTGATGTTCAATGACCTGAATAAACATTGTACATTTTTGAAGGTAGTCTTAAGATAATTTATAGTTATTACAAACATATAAATGTCACATCTGCTGATTTCTCACAGTGTGATTGTGACTGACAGTTCGGGAGTTCAGCCTTTACATTGTGAATCAACCAAACGCCACCAGTAGATTAAAGCTGGTCACTCTGATGATGTCATTCTTTATCTGTCCACTAGATGGCGGACTGTGGGGGGCTTCCTCAGGTGGTTCAGGTGAGTTTCAGATGATCACCAGAATTCCTGGTTCAGTTTTTAATGTTGAATGAAAACAAAATGATTTTTCTGTTCAGCCTGGGAAGTTAGCCGAGGCCATCAAGTACTTCCTCCAGGGAATGGGATACAGTGAGTATCTGCCTCCCAATCAGCTGATTAACAGGCTTTATCCTGATCTGCCTCACATGTTCAAGACAAATGAATCTGCAGCTAAAATTTCTAACATACGAAAAGCTTTCTGCTGAAATCAGTCCACTGATCTGGGGATTATTGATGATTATTAATTACATTTAATCAGGTTGTTATTGTGCTGCTATCAGGTGTTGAATAGATCAATAAAAAATCTGGTGACTTTAATTCAAATAGTTCAGTTTGTTATTGAGTTAGTAAAGAAAACATTTGGGGGGATTTTAGTTTTTAAATTTATATTTTTTTGGTCTGTACTTTTTAACAGATCTGGTGCAGTTAAATAGAGAGAGATAGAGAGTGTGTGTGTGAGTGAGTGTGTGTGAGTGAGTGTTTGTGTGTGTTTGTAGCGACCCGACATTGAACAGCAGGTTCTGTCTCTAAATGTAATTAATTAGATGTTATTTTATTGTTTGTAATATTGCTGCTGGAACCTCTGACCTTTGCCCTTGCTCCCCCAGTGCCCGCAGCCGGTATGACCCGTCTGATCCGCTCCAGAAGCCGCTCCGCCAGTGGGACCTCGATCTGAGACCGGCGCCGCAGCGCCACCGACACCCACCAGGGGGCGCCGCTGAAGTCCAGACCATCCAGACAGCAGTTGCTGCCTTGCGGTTCTGGTTCTGCTCCTCCTCCAGTTGTCAGAGTTCTTCCTGAAAAGTCCAGTTCAGGCTGGACATCGGACCGGTGCGGTTCTGTTATCCAGTGGTAACACGTTTCTGTGGAGTTTAGATGCTGTTGTTCTGTGGTTCTTGTTCTCTTGGATCAGACATTTTTCTCTCTTTCTTGTGGTTCTGATCGATCTTTTTGATATTTACTCGTCGTTGATATTTGGTTCTGTTCGGTTCTGACGGACCGACTCCTTCAGGAAGTTAAATATTTAACGGAGTTTCACGTCCTGAAACTCATTCATGAACTAAAGCTTGAGGGGAGGTCCGATTCAACTCCAGAACCAGACTGGTTCTGCTTCTAAGTCACGGCTTGGCCCGAAACCAGAACTCATCTTCATCTGCTTTGTCAGAACTTAATTCTGGTACCGCCGGGTCGGCTCGATCCGCTTCCCTCAGATTCTCTGCAGTCCTTTTGTCGGCATGCCGAGTCGTAGCATGAGAACTTTGTGTGGACCCGATGTTCAGCTCCACTGAAGACACCAACAGCCCAGAACCCGGTTCTGGTCCATTCTCTTCAGTAAACAGGAATCCTTTAGATCAGAACCGGGTCCTGCTGCGGTTCTGGTTTCCTGTTGCTCTGGTTCTAAACCTGCTGGATGTTTGTTTCTGTGGTTTGTAATGAAATAAAGCTGAAATAAATCAACGGCTCCTCGCTGCTCAGAACCAGAACCAAACCTGCTTAAACACAGAACGATTCTGCTGCTGCTGATCGAGTCCCGCCGCAAAGATATGGAGACAAATTGGGGCCAACACTTTACCTTATAAAATTGAAAAACTATAATTTTTAAAAATAAAAAGTATTGAAACTGAAAAAAATAAAATGACTAGAAAAAACAACATTAACCTGTAAATAAGTTTTGAGTTGTGTTTCTTCAGATAAGCATTTGTTTGCATTTTCCGGGTTTATTTGGTCGTATCTGGTTGCCTTTATTTGACAGTTGTCAGACAGGCAGGGACTCGAACCATCGCCTTCGTACATGGATCACGCTTTTCCCCTGCTCACTGCAGAGACATTTTTGAGGAACATTTTGGCTCCAGTTTAGCTCCGTACGGGCCCTGATCCAGCCTCATTCCGGGCCCATCCAGACTGAAGCAGAATGTGGAACGGGATCATTTCAGAACCTGAAAGACCCGATCAAAACCGCCTACAACAACTTTATTGCCTCCACTTCCATCAAAAACAGCAAATGAATTATGGATAAAACCTGACTGCACATCAAACAGTTTATTATCTAACAGTGGGAAAACTTTCAACCCTTCAGAACCGCTAGGGGTCAGAAACTGTCAGCGTCCTCTGGTGAGGAACCACATCGTGGTTCTGGTGAGGAATGCAATCTGTTGGGTTCATGTTGTTCAGCTGGCAGCAGGGGGCGCCGTCTTGCTGCAGAGTCTTCCCAGCAGGCCGGCCATCTGCAGCAGGGAGTTGACTCCTTCAGCCACCCGCATGTGAGTGAAGCCGATCTCCTGGAGGAAACGAGAACCGGTTCCTGATCACATCAGGTCCAAACGGACGGGCTTACAGCATTTTCTCTCAGTTTAAATAAACAAAAACAATGATTAAAAAAGGATAAACTTGCAGAATGTGGAAAAAAAGGACTTAAAGCAAATTCCTGTCACTCAATTATTAACTAATTGAATGAATAATTTGTTTATATGCCATCTGTTTGAGAACATTTTGTTCAAACTGTAGTCTCACTTCTACGGAGGCCAAAATGTGCAAACAGAATGACAACAAATGCTGCAACTACAAAAAAATTGAAGCAAAATGCAAATCACTGCAAACTTGCTCCACAAAACGCAAGTCCTCCAGACCACTAGGGGGAGTCGACCAACAAATTATAAAGACGTCCAACATAAAGCTGGATGAAGAAAAGCTGTGCTGTCCACCTTATTCCGATCCCCCATGAGGCTTTGCATGATTTACGGGGGCGACTTCCGCCATGAACCGGAACCAACAATTTTTTTTCATATTTGCAACTCGCTAACCGCCGTTCATCTGAGCTTTCAGGCTATAAAATATGTGTGAACACCAACTAGTTTGATGCTAACTCAACGCCATTCCTGTCGCTCCCCGTGATCCTCTACACTGAGCAGCTCTCTCATAGCAGATGCTGTCTGGAAACAAGTTTGACTAAATATTGTACCGAAGTAACCGAAAAGAGAGATGGAACTTCTATCATGAATGTAGATCAGCCAAAACCCTACAAATTACAAAGAAATGCTGCTACTTCTGGTGAGCGCTGGAAGTTAGACCCATAAACGTTTCCCAGTGAGCCTCCCAGGAATAAGGTTGATTTACTCAAGCTGTAATATTACAGACTCCCCCTAGTGGGCTGGAGGAGTTCTGTCTTATAGGAGTTTTCCTGTTGCTCCTATTCATGTTTTTGGAGTTTGGGTCATTCACGTGTTGCATCTGTTAGCCTCTGTACGCCTGTCGTCTCATCATTGCAGCTTCAATAGAGATTGGGTTAAAGTTTGAGTATTTTTCCCTTCAGCTTCACTGTGGGAACAGTTTTAGTTTCTTGTTTATGCAGCAGAGTTGAAAACATTCAGAGCCAACACAGGTTTTCCTTCCTCATTCAGTCTGGGAAGCTTTTTCAAAAAAATCGCTCTAATGCTCCAATAAATCCTCAAACAAGGTCCAGTTTTTCACAAAATCAGCAGATTCCAGCAATTTTTGTGCTCGTCATAACTGTACATTTTTTCTGTTCTGCAGAAATGGTCAAATATTGAGTGTAAGCAAAGTAAAAATCCCACCTGCAGGTGGCAGTATTTCTAACAAGCTTGATGTCAAGTTTTAGAAAAGACATAAAAGTTATTAAGTTCTTTAAAATAAAAATGTTACAGTTTAGCTGTCTGGTGTTTGTTTTTTTTCTTCTTTTAAATGTACAATTTGAAGGGAATTAAATCTTGTGAAGTTCCTAGTAAGCAGAGTTAAAGCAGCGCCAGACCGGTGATTGTGCTCAGTGTTTCCTCCTGCGCCTCACCTTGATGAACTCCAGCTTCAGGTACTCGGCCATCTGGAATGTCTTGCAGACCCTGAAGATGTTTCCCATGATGTCCTCTGGGGAGTAGCCCAGCGCCCACAGCTGCTCCATCACCCGGTACGCTGCATCCACATCCCCCGCCACGCAGTGTCCCAGCATGCCTTTCACCAGCAAGGGATGCGCTCATCGCACACTTTGAACACGTTCTCACTGTTGATGTAGCCGAAGCCAGAGTGGTGGATTGCAGGTTGTTCAGCGCCTGGAACCAAAGCAGAACCATCAGCAACTTCAGGCCTGCATCCAGCCTCCTAACCCCGCCTCCTGCACCCTAGCCCCGCCCCCAGCCTCCTAGCTCTGCCTCCTGCACCCTAGCCCCGCCTCCAGCCTCCTAGCCCTGCCTCCTGCATCCTAACTGAATTGGACGAGCTAACGGTCCCAAACAAGCAAAGCTAAACTACACTGAAGAACTATCATGACCACTTCCTGACTCCGCCCCTCACCTGCCGCATGTCCCCCTGCGCTGTGAAGATGACGGCCTCGAGCCCGTCATCAGACACGGCCAGCCGCTCTCGCTCCACCACTTCCTGCAGCCGGGCCAGCACCTGGCCGTCCGTCAGCTTGGCGTAGCGTAGCACAGCACAGCGCGACTGGATCGGCTCTATGATTTTGTCGGAGGCGTTGCAGGCGAGAGCGAACCGAGTCGTTTTGGAGTAGATCTCCATGATCCTCCTGAGTGCCTGCTGAGCGCCATCAGTCATGCTACGGGAGGCAGAACAGCTTCATCAGAACAGGAAGTAAAGCAGGAAGTGTCCATGGAATCAGCCTCCGCTCACCTGTCTGCTTCATCTAGGATGATGATCTTGTGTCGACCTTTGGGCAGCGTGACTTTCTGCTGGGCGAACATCTTGATCTTGTTTCTCACCACATCAATGCCCCTGCAAAGCCACCATCAGCAGTCGTCACTAAAGCCCCGCCCCCTGTGACAGCATCACTAGAGCCCCGCCCCCTGGGACAGCATCGCTAAAGCCCCGCCTCTCTGACATTGGACCGCTGGGTCTCACCTGTCGTTGGAAGCGTTGAGCTCCAACACGGCGTCCTTCATGGCGGCCCCCAGCAGAGTGCGGGCCAAACACAGGATGCTGGTGGTCTTTCCTGTCCCTGGAGGTCCTGAACCGCACCAAAACATCTGGATCAGTTCCTAAGACTATAAACGAGCACCCAAGCCCCAAGTATCATCCCTCCACCACCATGCATGACTGGTGATGTTTTGTTCTGAAATTGTTGGCTGAACAGACGTCTGAGTGATCTCGTTAAAGTACAAGGGATGCCTGACTGACACCAATGTGACCTAAGTGATTATTTTTAATTATCAATTAATTATTCTGACAATCAAATTTTAAAAATTACACATTCTGAAGACTTTTCAATTCAGCCTTTTTAGAAATTAAAGGCTGAGGTCTAAATGATTAATAACAACTGGAAATAAAGTTTAGAAATACAATCTGAGTGTATGCTCTCCAATAACCCTGTTTTGACACTTTTTCCTTGCACCTTCCATGCTTCTCCTGTCCTGCTAACATTTCCCTGCAGACCACATCCTGACTCCTGTGCTTCAACACTGACCTGCTATGATGATGTTCGGGACGTTTCCCTCCCTGGCGAAAACCTCCAGGCGGCTCACCGTCTCCTCGTTCCCAACTATCTCATTCAGTTTCAGTGGCCGGTACTTCTCCACCCAGGGCAGCTCGTAGGAACTCCCGGAGCTTTTCGACGAGGACTCCCCGGCCTCGGTGTCCGTCTTTACCCCGCTTCCACTCGGCTTCTGGTCGCTTTCCCTGTCTGCCATCTCTACGTCCATGTTGTCTTGTCTGGTTGTCAGCCCGCGAAACGGGAACCAAAACCTCATTGGCTAGGAGGTATTTTCGAAGGAGTGATTGGATAAGAAAAGCTCGTGATAAGTCAGAAAGACAGTGGCTTCGCATCATTTCCCACTGGGCGAAGCAGGCGGCGCGCTGGACTGAGTGGAGTTTACTCCGAATTGACACTATAGTCAATAAACTCACGTTTCTGCACCCGTAAACATTAGAATATTTAAATTAAATCTTATTTAGACACACCATAAAATTCGACACTGGTTGAAAACTCACTCAATTTTGAGCAACCAACATTTACAATGCCTATAAAATGTTTCTGTTTAACTGCTGCTTCAGTTTAACTGACTACTGTTGATCCGGTTGAGCGCCTGCCTGTGGTCAGATGAGGGAACAGCAGCTGGTTTCTCTCAGGAAGCCGTCACCGACCGCTGGGACCAACCAGTTCCTGCTTCCGCAAACAGAGTGCTGTTCCTCAGTTTATCGGCTCATCAATGCAGGGACTGCCTTTCGCTTCCTGGCTGTGCTCTACACCCCTCTCTGCCCCACATTTATGAGATTGATCCGCGACATGACGGCCAACAGCCGCTGTTCGGTCGCTGAGCCCCCGGGGCTGGAGACCCAGCGGCGGAGATCGAGTGTCTGCTCCGGGAGACTGAGCTCCAGGCTGGGGACAGCTGGTGAGTGTCCGCGCAGACCCACGGAGTCATTCTGAAAGGCTCCACCAGTACCACTGATTTACAATCACTATAGCAGGAGCTGTCTGGTTCTGGGTGGTTCTGGTGTCGGTTCGGGTTGTTTGGGGGTTTTAACGGCTCGGCGTTTCCTGTTAGCCTGAGCTAGCTGACCGTTAGCTGTTAGCCGCTAATGCTAACAGGAGGAATTAAAGGGAAGTCATAACAACTTTCAAGTGGTTGTTTTTTTATTTATCGGAGCTGGGTTCGGACCGGACTGGTTCCGCTAAGTCCAGCTTCACTTAGAGATCCAACACATCTCACAAAGAACTTGAAATAGTCGCGAATATTTTCAGTTTCGATTCTCTTGAAGGAATCTTCTGATTTATTCATGTTTTCTCCTTTGAAATAATAAAATAATTTCTCCATTTAATGAACAGTCAAAAACATGGATTTCTAGACATCATGTGAAGCAGAAATAAATCTTAATAAATAAGATTGTCATAAACAAACTCGGTTTATTTCAAGAAATTAATGTTAAGAAGTAAACTTGTATAAAACAGATTATTTACATAGTGAAATATTTCAATCTTCATGCTCTGGCTAGATGTATTAATGGAAAGTTGAGTGGAAGGTAAAAGTGTCTTGAGAGCCCATTTAGGAGTTTGGAAGATTACAAGGTATAGCCTGGAAATTGAACTTAAAACCAGTCAGATCAGATGAATCGACATGAAGAAATGCAACAGTTATTCTTTAATTTGTAGCTCTAAGAGTTAGCATGATGCTAAAGGAGCTAAATGCTGTTAATATTAGCTTTGAATGTGACCAAACAGACATGAACGATGTTCAGTTTTCAACCCAAATATGACTGCTGGCGCCTGTCTTCTTCTGCTCCTGTTTTTATGACGGCCAGTAAACGTTCTCATCCTTTCTGGGAGATTTTTGATCAGCTTCTCTCTGGATCGTCATGTTGAGACAAACTTTCAGCTCCGAGCTGAATCTTTGTTCCTGAATGTTCTGGTCTCCTGAGTTTCCGTTCCAGGAATTAAAATTAAAACTGCAGAGAATCAAAACAAATCTAATAAAAAAATGACCAAAAGAGAAAAGAGACGTAAGCAGAATCACCAACAAAGAGCCAAAACCAGATGAGATTCTGCTTTTAATCTGGAAACAGGAATCAAGTTCTCCAGAAACACAAAGTTATTTTTATCTCCTTGAAATATGAAAGGAAACAAAAACAAATGTAAATATTGTTGAATGAACTTGATAGTGATAGGGTGTTGTGTGAATCCGATGCAGGTCAGAGGTCGTGTTGCTGCTGCTGTTGATCAGATCTGTGGTTTTTCCTCATGTTTTCCCTCTGGATGCTGCCGCAGCACCGTGACGCTGCAGGATTCTCCACTCCCTGGTTTTACTTTCTGTTCTCCATTAATAAGTCATGAATGTCTGCTGCTCTGACTCCTGCTCCGGTTTCCGTCCCAGGCGTCAAGCTTCCTCTGGTTCAGATATTTACCTGCTTCTGATTTATGAAGCAAAGTAATGACACAATAATGAGGAGAAAATGTTCTCTACTGTGTTTTAGAATCATCTGGCTGAATCCTGTTGAACAGATCTCAGTATTTAAAGTTTTATCAAACATTTTCATTGGATTTTATGATAAACCGTAAAAGAGAATGATCTGGAAGAGAAATGATTTGATGATTCAGGATTTAAAATGGTGGCCAGCAGAAGCTAACGAGTTGAAGAGAGCCGTCGCTGCTTTCAGTTTCTTCTTTTTTATTAATGATCATGTGAGGAAGACAAACATTAACCTGCAGCAGAAACCAGTGCACAGATCCACAGATC